AGCGGGAAAACACAGCTGTTCTGATGTAAACAAAGGCGTGTTTGAGTGTTGCCATCTATGGTAAGGTTTATTTATTTTTATTTTATTTCATTATTTATTTATGTTTTGATTAATTTTTAAAAATCAATTTTACTCTCCAAACACTTGAACTTTTTCGGTAGGGACCCCTTTGCACTTGCACCATGTGTGCAGTCTTGGATGAGCCCCTGAACCCCTTGGACCGCGGGGCCCCCAAATGCGCGGGGCCCTAGGCAAATGCCTCGTTTGCCTATGCGGTAATCCGGCCCTGAGCGTGGGTCACACCGTCCCAGCGTGGGTCATGCGGTCACAGCGTGGGTCACGCTGTCACAGCATGGGTCATGCGGTCACTGTGTGGGTAACGCAGTCTCAGCGTGGGTCATGCAGTCACAGCGTAGGCCACGCAGTCACAGCGTTGGCCATGCAGTCACAGCGTCGGTCATGCAGAGTGAGTTATGCAGTCACAGTGTGGGTCATGCTGTATTACAACCCAGGAACTAAAGGTCTGTTGTCCTGGGTGTAAAGGGAGCAAAATAAACACAGCTGAATGACTCTGACTTACATTATCCTTCACCAAGTATAAACAGCAGTATGTACACCATATACACGATGTACAGCAACAGGTATTAGTGCACACCACGGTAATCAAGCAAAAATAATGCTACTAGAGAGCAGAACGTGCTTCAACCAGCTCTCGAATGGAAATGACAAGGGTGAAAACGTGAGTGGTGACCATGTCACCTCCACAATTGCCAGACCCACCTTCTTATTGGCTGAACTTAGATACTGATCTGACGATGGGGCCCCATCATCCGACCCTTAGCACCTGGTTCGCTGGTTGGGGAGGTAGCCTTTTAATGAGGGTGTGTACATGCACTGAATAAAGGTTACATACTCTTTGCATGCCACACACACTGTCACAGCGTGGGTCATGCGGTCACAACATGGGTTACGTGGTCACAGAGTGGGTCACACTGTCACAGCGTAGGTCACACTATCACAGCATGGGGTATGGTGGCACTGACTACGTGGAGGTAAGTTTCTTGAACTGTTTAGTTAATAGGCTTAGGTTGTAGGCTTTTTTTAGATTACCCTTATGCTCACCTGGGTCCTGGTATGGATATGTCTCCTATGGTTGAGTGGGGAGTGATATATTGGGTGAAATAGTGAAACAGTAGAGTATTTACCAAGAGGCTAAGAGGGGGTTAATTAATATTCACCCACTCAAACCTAGCGTCATGTTTATTTATTTCTCTTTGTTTTGTTTTCTTCTATGTCCCAGCCAGGCAGCATCCTAATGTATGCTGAGGTCAGTGGCCACAAGAGGTCATTCTGTCCTAGTTGTCTGGGGGATTAGTGTGGAGGGTTATAGAGCACCATGGCTTGCTCCTGTAGTGTTTTGGAATCTCAGGATAAAGTGTTGAAGAAGGAGGCTCTACTTCTCGAAGAGGAAAATAGGAGGCTGAAAATTTGCCTAGATGGATTTGGGAGAGAGTGTGTGAAGGGTGGAGTCGTTGTGGAGGAAAAGGTTACCAACAGTGAGTTGAAGAGTGGCAACCACTTCAAGTGGAATGTGGTCTCTACTAAAGGTAGAAGTATCAAGATAAGGATGCTTAATAGAGAAGATCTGAAGGTAGAAAATCGATTCTCTGTACTCCAGGATGAGTGTACTTAAGTAGTTAGTGTGGTTGAAGGTACCACTAACTCCCCCACTAATCAAGGTAAGAACATTCTGATTGTGGGTGACTCACAGGTAAGATATGGACCGTGCTTTTTGTAGTAGAGATACGAAACTGAGACAGGTGATGTGTTTCCCAGGAGCTGGTGTTGATGACATAGTCAACAGGTTGGACAAGATCATGTCAGGTAATGGGAACAAGCCCATTATCTGTCTCAGTGCTGGTGGAGATGATATCAGGAAGGGTAGGAGACAGGAGCTGCTGGATAAATACAGGTCAGCTGTAGATTTAATTAGGTCTATGGGAGACCCTGTCATATGTAGCATCTTGCCTAGAAGAGGAGTGGGCAATAAATGGATGTCTAGGGCAATTAGATGACTAGACAGGTACCGCATGGAATTTGCAATCCCATTCATTGATAACTGGGACTATTTCTATGGCAAACATGATGTGTATGCAAGGGATGGGGTACATTTCTCTGTTGCAGGGGTGGTAGCATTAGCCAACTCGATCGAGGGGGCCATTATTGACTTGTCCAGGACTTTAAACTGACAGAATGTAGAAGTATGGGTGTTTGTGGGAAACAATCAGGTGGCAACACTAGGGTTGAAAACAACAGATACTACCAGGTTACCTCAGGGACGTACAAAAGTTATTATTCATAATAAAGTTACTAGTAAAGGTAATCAGCTGCAAAGTTTTAAGCGTCGGAAAGGTAAGTAACCACGATATTTATAAATTAAATAGTGTAGATCTTAATATCTCTGACTGCAAAAAACATTTGGGAGTTCTCGGCTTCATATCAAGAAGTATAATAATAGTAGTCCACAAGTTATTCTTCAACTCTATATATCGTTGGTTAGGCCTCATTTAGATTATGCTGCACAGTTGTGGTCGCTGTATTACATAACGGATACAATTGCGCTTGAAAACATACAAAGGAGGATGACAAAAATGACCCCATGTATCAGAAATCTTCTGTATGAGGATAGACTGAAGGCCCTGAATCTGCACTCTCTAGAAAGGCTTAGAATTAGGGGAATATGATTGAGGTGTATAAATGGAAAATGGGAATAAATAAAGGGTATGTAAAAAATGTGCTATAAATGTACAACCAAAACAGGACTCGCAGCAATGGTTTCAAGTTGGAAAAATTTAGATTCAGAAAAGATACAGGAAAGCACTGGTTTGGTAATAGAGTTGTTGATGAGTGGAACAAATTCCCGAGTAGCGTCATTGAAGCTAAAACCCTGTGTAGTTCTAGAAAAGTGTTGAAGGACGGTTAAATGTGTTCTGTATAGTGTTTGTATATATTATTATGGATGCTCAATGTATATTTTTTCTAATAGAGAATGTGGCATGCAAAGAGTATGGTACAATTTATTCGGCGTATGTCACACTCCCATGTAGGCTGCCTCCCAACCAGTTAACTGGGTGCTAAGGGTTTAACGATCGATAGGGTGCAAGTCGTTAAATCAGTACCTTGGTTCATTAACCAATCACAGGCAAGCCCACCAAAGTTGAAGCAACGTGGTTCACTTGCGGGAAGCATTGGCAGACTTGCCTTTCTGCTGGTTGAATACGGTGCACTCTCTCTGGCTTCTGCTTTGCCATGTGTCACCGTGGTGTACATTTATTATTCTCTCTGTACATAATGTACATAGTGTACATGCTTGTATATAGTGGGTGAAGGCAAAATGTACATTATAGTCTACTGTTGAGTTTGTTTGCTCCAGTTCCCATTACGACCAGGTCTCCCAGGTAAGAATTTACCCGTCCTTCCTGATAATCAAACCGACAGTAGTGAACCCTGGTTTAGCGCTTTTGTGAAATTATAAATGTAGCCCTGGGGTGGTTTATTTTCAATTATTTTATATATATCCCTAAACAAGGCTTTTAACTTCCCCTAGGCTCCAATATTTTTCGTAACAGACAGGTGATAGTGTTGCAGGAAGAGGTGATACAGTGTTGCAGGAAGAGGTGATACAGTGTTGCAGGAAGAGGTGATACAGTGTTGCAGGAAGAGGTGATACAGTGTTGCAGGAAGAGGTGATACAGTGTTGCAGGAAGAGGTGGTACAGTGTTGCAGGAAGAGGTGATACAGTGTTGCAGGAAGAGGTGGTACAGTGTTGCAGGAAGAGGTGATAGTGTTGCAAAGAGAGGTGATGCAGTGTTGCATGGATAAATGATAGTGTTGTAGGGATAGGTGATACAGTGTTGCAGGAAGAGGTGGTACAGTGTTGCAGGAAGAGGTGATAGTGTTGCAAAGAGAGGTGATGCAGTGTTGCATGGATAAATGATAGTGTTGTAGGGATAGGTGATACAGTGTTGCAGGGAGAGGTGATACAGTGTTGCAGGGAGAGGTAATACAATGCTGCAGGGAGAGGTAATACAGCGTTGCAGGGAGAGGCAATACAGTGTTGCAGGGAGAAGTCATACAGTGTTGCAGGGAGAGGTAATACAGAGTTGTAGTGTTGCAAGGAGAGGTAATACACTGTTATAGTGTTGCAGGGAGAAGTAATACATTGTTGTGGTGTTGCAAGGAGAGGAAATAGTGTTGTATAGAGAGGCAATATAGTATTGCAGGGAGAGGTAATACGGTATTGCAGGGAGAAGTGATAGTGTTGCAAGGATAGATAATTAAGTGTCATAGATCATCGTTGTGTTGTACTAATAAGGTTCTCCGTTGCTTAAACGTTACCTAGTAACATCTAGTATTACTCACGTGCCTTACTAAGCAACATTTAACGCAGTAACGCTTGTAATTAAATTTATTACGCTGATACAGCCACTGGAAGAGCTAGTCCTGACACCTGTGCCTTGTAACCACAATATTTATTGTATTTACCATATGTAAACTGGTTAGAGTCATATCAACGCTGAAATAAGGTAAACGAAGTCTTCCTGAAGTGTAAACCAATAAAAAGCTGCAAAATTATTTTAGATTCGGGAATTGTACAAGTTGTTGAGCAGCTCATAATGGATAGTTTACCTGCTGCATCAAACAGTAAACAGTTCAGTGTACAGCACAGCTGCTTACAGTAGCAGCTGTGCTGTACAGTCGTGCACTGTATGGCCGTGCTGTAGAATTACACAGGTCACATGGGGTCTCGATCAGACCTGAAACAGGCACGTCAGTCAGCCTCAAGCATGGATTCAAGCTATTTCAATCCCCTCCTGTATGTTCTGACCTCACAAGTGATTTTTATATCAATGTACCACGGACACTGACATAATTATATATTGCTTTAAGTATTAAGAGGGTAGAAAATCAGCTTGAAAAAGAAAATAAAAAAAAATATATATTTTTTTTAGCTTTATTTCACAGGCAACATTTAGCAACCCATATATCAACTGCCTTGTGGCGCCACATTCACGTCTTAGTACATTGTTTTATACAAAATCTCAATATATGACAGACATTCAGGAGATAGTGGAGGAAGATTGGCCAGCAGTGATCCAGGAATTTTGCGGAATACAGCAGCAGGAACTGTGTCAGTTACTGAGAAGCTACAGTGGTTGTGGTGTACACAAGTGACCACTAGATAAATACAAATGTAGGCCTTTTCTTGGTGCCAAATCTCACCGTAGGCCTCCTCTGACCGCGGGAAAACGTTGCTCCCTGCAAAAAAGGTAACAAGTTCTTGATTATACTTAGTAACAGGAAACTTAATCAAGTTGATTAATGTGACTAATGAAGGCACTTAATCACTTTGATTAATACGGGGTCACTACAATTATGAATTCCGCTGAATAAAAAGCTGCAAAATTATTTTAGATTCGAGAATTATACAAGTTGTTGAGCAGCTCATAATGGATAGTTTACCTGCTGCATCAAACAGTAAACAGTTCACTGTACAGCACAGCTGCTTACAGTAGCAGCTGTGCTGTACAGTCGTGCACTGTATGGCCGTGCTGTAGAATTACACAGGTCACATGGGGTCTCGATCAGACCTGAAACAGGCACGTCAGTCAGCCTCAAGCATAGATGCAAGCTATTTCAATCCCCTCCTGTATGTTCTGACCTCACAAGTGATTTTTATATCAATGTACCACGGACTGCGATCTTTTTCTGTATACACTCGCTTGTTTCTCGCGTGGTGCATTGATAAAAAAAATCGCTTGTGAGGTCAGAACATACAGGATGAGATTGAAATAGCTTGAATCCATGCTTGAGGCTGACTGACGTGCCCGAGCTGGGAAAGAAACATGGCTTGTGAACCAGGCTGCCTAGCTTATGTAGTATTTGTTGCTGAGTGGATAAGAGCGCTGCCTGGGAACCTTGTCCGTCTCAGTAACAGTATCGAGTCCTGCTGACTGCGATTTCTCTCTCTCTCTCTCTCTCTCTCTCTCTCTCTCTCTCTCTCTCTCTCTCTCTCTCTCTCTCTATCTTATATATATATATATATATATATATATATATATATATATATATATATATATATATATATATATATATATATATATATGTGCAGTAAGATCACAGTAAATAGGTGATTTTAAAATATGCAAAACAACCACTGTGAAAGAGTAGTGAAATTCCAAGCGCTTTCGTGACTACTCACATTATCAAGGAACTATGAAAGTAAAGCATCAAAGGAAGGTATATAAGGGGTCTGGCCAACACCTCACTATCAGATCCCACAACATTGCAGCAGGCCCGCCGGCCCAACTAGACAGGTCCTTCACACAACCCACCAACAAACTATTCTACCCAAGAAATAAGAAATTTTAAAAATTATTATTTGTCCAAAGTATTATTAAATTCTTCCCAAATTCTATTAATTATAGATGGATCTAATTTATATAAACCAAAGGAAATATTCATATTATTGTCAAAACTGCTTTTTATGTAACAAGATTCAATTATATTCCTGTCGACCATGGACTTGCTTGATACTACTTTCTCAACTTTTTGAAAATCAATTGGATGGTTAAAATCCATTACATGAATAAATAGAGCATTGGAATCTTGTCCAGTTCTAATGCTATATTTATGTTGTTTTAATATAGCATTAGAACTGGACAAGATTCCAATGCTCTATTTATTCACGTAAGAGATTTTAACCATCCAATTGATTTTCAAAAAGTTGAGAAAGTAGTATCAAGCAAGTCCATGGTCGACAGGAATATAATTGAATCTTGTTTCATAAAAAGCAATTTTGACAATAATATGAATATTTCCTTTGGTTTATATAAATTAGATCCATTCATAATTAATAGAATTTGGGAAGAATTTAATAATACACTGGATAAATAATAATTTTTAAAATTTCTTATTTCTTGGGTAGAATAGTTTGTTGGTGAGTTGTGTGAAGGACCTGTCTAGTTGGGCCGGCGGGCCTGCTGCAATGTTCCCTTTCTTATGAGTCGCGCGTCAGGTGGTTTAACTGTTGTGGGATCTGATAGTGAGGTGTTGGCCAGACCCCTTACATACCTTCCTTTGATACCTTCCTTTGATATTGTGAGTAGTCACGAAAGAGCTTGGAATTTCTCTATTCTTTCACAGTGGTTGTTTTGTATATATATATATATATATATATTATATATATATATATATATATATATATATATATATATATATATATATATATATATATATAATATATTATATATATATATATATAATATATATATATATATATATATATAATATATTATATATATATATATATATATATATAATATATATATATATATATATATATATAATATATATATATATATATATATATATATATATATATATATATATATATATAATATATATATATATATATATATATATATATATATATATATATATATATCCATGAGGAAGTGGAACAGAATTCTTCCTCCGTAAGCCATGCGTGTCGTAAGAGGCCACTAAAATGCCGGGAGCAAGGGGCTAGTAACCCCTTCTCCTGTATATATTACTAAATTTAAAAAGAGAAACTTTCGTTTTTCCTTTTCGGCCACCTTGCTCCCGGCATTTTAGTGGCCTCTTACGACACGCATGGCTTACGGAGGAAGAATTCTGTTCCACTTCCTCATGGATATATATATAATATATATATATATATATATATATATATATATATATATATATATATATATATAATATATATTATGTTATCACGAAATCACAATAACAAGATTACAAACAAACCTTGGAACTGATGGGGTTGAAACTCGTGGCCAGTGAGCCCTAAAACTCCAGGTCAGGGGGCTTATGCACTGGCCTGGAGTATTAGAATTCAACTTGCCATAGGTTCAGACTCCACCCGTTCCGTGGTCTGTTATCATGGATGGAATCCACACGTGTCAGACAAATATGTTTAACTGACCTCTCAAGCCATTTATAACAAGTAATAAAGACTGAGAATTATGCATGAATGTTAACTATCATAGTATAGTTATTAATGTGGTTATGTAGTTATTAAGTTGGTTATCCAGTTATTCATTCATGTATTTCTCCCAGTTATTTACATAACAAACTGAGTTATGTACTTTTGTCGAAGTTAACAAGTGTTAATAATTATTTTCTTGGGTAATTAGACACTGGCTGCCATGCGCTAATTTATTTGTTTTTAATTTCGAATGAACAATTAATTTCATCTATTAATATGTTTTAAGTGAAATGTATTAAGCGTTTGTTTTATGCTATGACAAAAAAAATATATATTGAAGATTGTAATTGTTCTGTGAGAGTGTCTTACCGTGCTGCCTTTCTTTGCGTCAGTGCCTCCGAGGACGACAGGTTTGATATCTCGCGGGAATCTGGCATGAGTAGCCTCTCTGGTGGTCCGCAAGGGGTCACTCAAATGGTCGCTCACGGGGTCACTCAAGGGGTCACTCAAGGGGTCACTCAAGGGGTCACTCAAGGGGTCACTCAAGGGGTCACTCATACCTCTTCTCTCTGTAAGCAGAAGAATACTCACGTCAGAATTTCCTGTCTTTCTCGTGTCAGCAACACAAGTGTCAGATCAAGCCATTGTCAGACAACGTTTAGATCACCTCTGGTAGAAAAGTTGCATAATATATATATATATATATATATATATATATATATATATATATATATATATATATATATAATATATATATATAAATATATATATTATATATATATTGTGCCGAATATGTAAAGCTTGTGATTTTCACTTAAATAACAACGTTCTTCTTGCCGAATAAGGCAAGTGAAAATTTGTGTATGTAATAATATGCCAAAAATCATTCTGAACCTAACGAAAAAAAATATTTCATTGTGTTTATTATTACATTATTGTAAACTTAATTAAAATATGTTTAGTTGGATAAGGCTAAATTAAATTGCTCTTATTATAATAAGGTTAGGTAAGTTTTCTAAGTTTCTTTTGGTACAAAATTATTGACTTTTACATTAACATAAATGAAAAAATATATCTTTAAACGTATAAGAGAAAATTTTAAAAAGGACTTAATTTTAAACGAGTTCTTGCTAACTGACCAATTATACCTATTCGGCACGATACACACACACACACACACACACACATACGTGTACTCACCTAGTTGAGGTTGCAGGGGCCGAGTCCTAGTTCCTGGCCCCGCCACTTCACTGGTCGCTACTAGGTCACTCTCCCTGAACCGTGAGATTTATCATACCTCTGCTTAAAGCTACGTATGGATCCTGCCTCCACTACATCGCTTCCCAAACTATACCACTTACTGACTAATCTGTGGCTGAAGAAATACTTCCTAACATCCCTGTGATTCATCTGTGTCTTCAACTTCCAACTGTGTCCCCTTGTTACTGTGTCCAATCTCTGGAACTTCCTGTCATTGTCCACCTTGTCAATTCCTCTCAGTATTTTGTATGTCGTTATCATGTCCCCCCTATCTCTCCTGTCCTCCAGTGTCGTCAGATCGAGTTCCCTTACCCTATCCTCGTAGGACATACCTCTTATCTCTGGGACTAGTCTTGTTGCAAACCTTTGCACTTTCTCTAGTTTCTTTACGTGCTTGGCTAGGTGTGTGTTCCAAACTGGTGCCGCATACTCCAATATGGGCCTAACGTACACGGTGTACAGGGTCCTGAACGATTCCTTATTAAGATGTCGGAATGCTGTTCTGAGGTTTGCTAGGCGCCCATATGCTGCAGCAGTTATTTGGTTGATGAGCGCTTCAGGAGATGTGCCTGGTGTTATACTCACCCCAAGATCTTTTTCCCTGAGTGAGGTTTGTAGTCTCTGGCCCCCTAGACTGTACTCCGTCTGCGGTCTTCTTTGCCCTTCCCTAAACTTCATGACTTTACACTTGGTGTATATGTATGTACGTATATATATATATATATATATATATATATATATATATATATATATATATATATATATATATATATATATATATATTATATATATAAAGTTAAAAATTTTGAAAGTAATCATCACGAGAAGTTTTTTCTTTGTGTTCTGGTAATTGAGTAAAGCAACCAAACGTTAATATTAAATAATAAATAAAATTTCTTAGATATTTGTGCAGGAAAAACCTTGATGCCATATTTATGTACGTGTTTTGGCGTAGTGACATGTAATGGTGAGTCTGAGTCACTGTCAGCTGAGTAACTCTCAGCTGGTTGATATCTCTGAGTCACTGTCAGCTGAGTAACTCTCAGCTGATTGATATCTCTGAGTAACTGTCAGCTGAGTGACGCTCAGCTGGTTGATATCTCTGAGTCACTGTCAGCTGAGTAACTCTCAGCTGGTTGATATCTCTGAGTCACTGTCAGCTGAGTGACTCTCAACTGGTTGATATCTCTGAGTCACTGTCAACTGGTTGATGTCTCTGAGTCACTGTCAGCTGAGTGACTCTCAGCTGGTTGATATCTCTGAGTCACTGTCAACTGGTTGATGTCTCTGAGTCACTGTCAGCTGAGTGACTCTCAACTGGTTGATATCTCTGAGTCACTGTCAGCTGAGTAACTCTCAGTTGCTTGATATTATCTGAGTCACTGTCAGCTGAGTAACTCTCAGCTGATTGATATCTCTGAGTCACTGTCAGCTGAGTGACTCTCAGCTGGTTGATATCTCTGAGTCACTGTCAGCTGAGTAACTCTCAGCTGGTTGATATTATCTGAGTCACTGTCAGCTGAGTAACTCTCAGCTGATTGATATCTCTGAGTCACTGTCAGCTGAGTGACTCTCAGCTGGTTGACATCTCTGAGTCACTGTCAGCTGAGTGACTCTCAACTGGTTGATATCTCTGAGTCACTGTCAACTGGTTGATGTCTCTGAGTGACTGTCAGCTGGTTGATGTCTCTGAGTGACTGTCAGCTGGATAATGCCTCTTGTCATGTAGGACCTCACAAGCCCAGCTGAACTACATCACACTCTGAGTGACTCTCAGCTGGTTGATGTCTCTGAGTGACTGTCAGCTGATTGATGTCTCTGAGTGACTGTCAGCTGGTTGATGTCTCTGAGTGACTGTCAGCTGGATAATGCCTCTGAGTGACTCTCAGCTGGTTGATGTCTCTGAGTGACTGTCAGCTGGTTGATGTATCTGAGTGACTGTCAGCTGGTTGATGTCTCTGAGTGACTCTCAGCTGGTTGATGTCTCTGAGTGACTGTCAGCTGGTTGATGTCTCTGAGTGACTATCAGCTGGATGATGTGTCTGAGTGACTCTCAGCTGGATGATGTCTCTGAGTGACTGTCAGCTGGTTGATGTCTCTGAGTGACTGTCAGCTGGTTGATGTCTCTGAATGTCTGTCAGCTGCTTGATGTCTCTGAGTGACTGTCGGCTGGATGATGTCTCTGAGTGACTCTCAGCTGGTTGATGTCTCTGAGTGACTGTCAGCTGGGTTTGAGTGCTTCTCTGAGTGACTCTCAGCTGGTTGATGTCTCTGAGTGACTGTCAGCTGGTTGATGTCTCTGAGTGACTGTCAGCTGGTTGATGTCTCTGAGTGACTGTCAGCTGGTTGATGTCTCTGAGAGACTGTCAGCTGGTTGATATCTCTGAGAGGCTAAATGCTCACAAGTCCGGTATTACTGAGGCACTTTCAGCTGACCAAGAATTTATCAGCCAAAAGTTCTCAGTCAAAAGTGAGCCAAACAATGTCTGGTACAATATGATTTATATAGTTTTGTACTGCATATATGGAGATTGTTGCGTCATATAGGCACGAATGTTTAAAATAGTGTCATTATTTACGTTATAATGGTACTGGTATCAACAACAGTGTTCTGGCTACCGTAGAGTTCCGTGAAAAAAATAATTGGAACACAGTTTCTATATGAAATTCTACAGTTACGTGACAGATGGATTTATTTTGTAAAATTTACAGTGATTGAGTAGGACTGATGATGCCTTTAATCACTTACCAGAGTGAGCATGTGAGGAAGAGAGAGCCACCAGCACCAGCACTGCCCACGTTAGGTAGCCAGCCATCAGTGTGTCCTGAAAGATAAAGCAGGTCAGGTTAGGTTAGGCTAGGTAGCCAGCTATTAGTGTGTGCTGGAAGATAAAGCAGGTCAGGTCAGGTCACTGGTTATAAGTTTGTTGCCACCTGCAGCTACCGAGTCACAGGGCCACTAATAGTACCTCCACTTAACACCGTCCAAACATTTTCCATTGGAACGGGTCGTCATGTGTCAAAGATTCTGCAACTGGCAGCTGTTTCCTGACGAGGAATATTAACATGTGCCAGTGACCGCAAGGGTACGAGGGACGGAGGAAACGCATTTACCAAGGAAAACATCCAGCGATATTCACCTCGTGTGTAGATACGACGATGTGTCCCCAGGAACTAGAACTCAAGCCACTGTGCGAGTCAACTGCGCGTGTGTGTGTGTGTGTGCGAGGTGTTATAACAGGCGTCCAGAACGTTTCTGGGATTTTCCCTGTGATCAAACATCACCTCCACCCTCTTTGTTTGCTCAGGACATTGACGTCAACTGGGGGAATTTCATGTTTCCCCCCATGCGACTTCAGCCTGGTCTTACAGCCCGGTCACACATCCTGGTCTTACAGCCCGGTCACACACCCTGGTCTTACAGTCTGGTCTTACAGCCACTCGAACAATGAAAGTGTCCTCAGTATTTTCACTACCAAACGTATAACAACCGTCTTTTTAATATCTTTTATGGGATAAAATACTTACATATTTATGCAAATTAACCTAACATGAAATGAAAAACAATTAGTTTACAGTATTATGATCAACCAGTGTTGTGATCAACCAGTGTTGTGATCAACCAGTGTTGTGATCAACCAGTGTTGTGATCAACCTGTGTTGTGATCAACCTGTGTTGTGATCAACCAGTGTTGTGATCAACCAGTGTTGTGATCAACCAGTGTTGTGATCAACCAGTGTTGTGATCAACCAGTGCTGTGATCAACCAGTGTTGTGATCAACCAGTGTTGTGATCAACCTGTGTTGTGATCAACCTGTGTTGTGATCAACCAGTGTTGTGATCAACCAGTGTTGTGATCAACCAGTGTTGTGATCAACCAGTGTTGTGATCAACCAGTGTTGTGATCAACCTGTGTTGTGATCAACCTGTGTTGTGATCAACCTGTGTTGTGATCAACCAGTGTTGTGATCAACCAGTGTTGTGATCAACCAGTGCTGTGATCAACCAGTGCTGTGATCAACCAGTGCTGTGATCAACCAGTGCTGTGATCAACCAGTGTTGTGATCAACCAGTGTTGTGATCAACCAGTGTAGTGATCAACCAGTGTTGTGATCAACCAGTGTTGTGATCAACCAGTGTTGTGATCAACCAGTGTTGTGATCAACCAGTGCTGTGATCAACCAGTGCTGTGATCAACCAGTGCTGTGATCAACCAGTGCTGTGATCAACCAGTGCTGTGATCAACCAGTGCTGTGATCAACCAGTGTTGTGATTTAACCAGTGTAGTGATCAACCAGTGTTGTGATCAACCAGTGTTGTGATCAACCAGTGTTGTGATCAACCAGTATTGTGATCAACCAGTGTTGTGATCAACCAGTGCTGTGATCAACCAGTGCTGTGATCAACCAGTGCTGTGATCAACCAGTGTTGTGATCAGCCAGTGTTGTGATCAACCAGTGTTGTGATCAACCAGTGTTGTGATCAACCAGTGTTGTGATCAACCAGTGTTGTGATCAACCAGTGTTGTGATCAACCAGTGCTGTGATCAAAACCCGTGCTGTGATCAACCAGTGTTGTGATCAACCAGTGTTGTGATCAACCAGTGTTGTGATCAACCAGTGTTGTGATCAACCAGTGCTGTGATCAACCAGTGTTGTGATCAACCAGTGTTGTGATCAACCAGTGTTGTGATCAACCAGTGTTGTGATCAACCAGTGTTGTGATCCACCAGTGTTGTGATCAACCAATGTTGTGATCAACCAGTGTTGTGATCAACCAGTGTTGTGATCAACCAGTGTTGTGATCAACCAGTGTTGTGATCAACCAATGTTGTGATCAACCAGTGTTATCCTATGTTCACCAGGTACCAGTGTGAACGTTGTAATGTTCACCAGGTACCAGTGTGAACGTTGTAATGTTCACCAGGTACCAGTGTGAACGCTGTAATGTTCACCAGGTACCAGTGTGAACGTTGTAATGTTCACCAGGTACCAGTGTGAACGTGTAATGTTCACCAGGTACCAGTGTGAACGTTGTAATGTTCACCAGGTACCAGTGTGAACGTTGTAATGTTCACCAGGTACCAGTGTGAACGTTGTAACGTTCACCAGGTACCAGTGTGAACGTTGTAATGTTCACCAGGTACCAGTGTGAACGTTGTAATGTTCACCAGGTACCAGTGTGAACTTTGTAATGTTCTCCAGGTACCAGTGTGAACGCTGTAATGTTCACCACGTACCGTGTGAACGTTGTAATGTTCACCAGGTACAAGTGTGAACGTTGTAATGTTCACCAGGTACCAGCGTGAACGTTGTAATGTTCACCAGGTACCAGTGTGAACGTTGTAATGTTCACCAGTTACCAGTGTGAACTTTGTAATGTTCACCAGGTACCAGTGTGAACGTTGTAATGTTCATCAGGTACCAGTGTGAACGTTGTAATGTTCATCAGGTACCAGTGTGAACGTTGTAATGTTCACCAGGTACCAGTGTGAACGTTGTAATGTTCACCAGGTACCAGTGTGAATGCTATAATGTTCATGAAGTATCGGTGTGAACAATGCTATTTTCAACAGCTGCTAAAGTGAACAGCGTTATGTTCAACAATAGCCAAGTGAACAATTTTAATGTTAAAACCCACAGCCAAAAGTGAACAATTTTATTTCCAAAAATTTTCCAGAGTAAAACATTTTTAAATTTTGCAGGAAAGGGGAAAGAAACATGGGGTTTATGGCTGACAATCTCTAACAACAAACCGCCCTTTTTTCCCCCGGGCCAAAGGATTTCCTGGCCCCTTATATTTTTTAATTTTTCGTCTTTTTCAAGGTGGGTTTATCACGGGCAACAGGGCGTTTTTGGATTTGGTCATGGGGCTCACCCACATGACTTTGGCCCCCACACTCTTACACATTTTAGATACTGAGCTTTTTAAATCCCTCATCACTGCCACATAACATAGTTGTGAGGTGTGTAAAAAACCCCCAAACGGGCTCAATAAAATTCCCTCAGAAATGGGGAAAACCGTCCATCACGTTCTCCCCTAAAGTAGAAAAAATTTTAAACAATGGGTATTATTAGTGTGAAACGAGGGCCGTCCTTGTTTTCAGGGGGGGAGTATAAAAAACCCCAAAAGAAAAAGGAAAACCCATTGCTACTCCTTTTTAACATACCAAGACTAAGGGGAGGAGCCATTATCAGGTTTTTGTTGAATTTTAAATAGGATCCCCAACCCGGGTTTTAAACCTCTTTGAGTAAATCATATCTGTTCTTTCTCAAGTTTTTTTTCTCTTAATTTTTATTTATGATTGCAGGAGAGCACAGTGCATTTTGACCCGGGGGCAACCACGAACAATGTTACAAGAAGTACAATACATAAATAACCGGCACATAAAAGGGGAAAATTTTTTACGGCAAACTTTTCGAGCCACTTGGGGTAAATTTATACTGCGTTTTTGTAGTTGTTTTTTGTAAAGGGTTCCAATGGGGGTCCGAAACTTCATTGAAAAGCTCCCCTCTCCTAATGGGGGTTTTATTTATGTATTTTTTCCAAAGTCAGGGTATTGGGGCCTTTTTGTTTTTTAAGAGGTAAAATACCCCCCCCCCCCCACAAGAACACATGCAAATTAACGTTTCCAGAGCACTTGCCAGTTGTAAAAAAATTGTAAAACCGTTCTTGACCAAACCCCCAGGACGTGGGTTTTGGAAAAAAAGTTAAGACCCGTCGAGAGCTTCTGGCGTAGGAGTCTAAAGTCGAATCCTGAAGTGGCTCCCCATATAGTGGGACGTGGGTGAGATGGCAAGATGGTTTGGGAAAAGGGCCCGCGCCTCAAGTGGCATAAAAACCCACCCGCAGCAAAAGACGGGTATAAATGTTTAAGCACTAAGCCAAAACATTCCCCTCTATGAAGTAAGGGGGGGAGGGAGAGGCCAGCCCCTGATCAAGGGGCACGTGATCAAGGAACTCATCTGCAATGAGATGCTACCTTAAAAAACTTTTTTTTTTATAAATTTTTGTTTCCCCAGCAAACCCACCCCAAAAAAAACTGATAGTTTTGCATCTAAAAAAAACTGGCCAACCTTTCTGGAAACCCCGGGGAACACTTCAACAATGATCTCACAGAAACGTTTCTGAAACCCGGGTGTCTCCCCCCACTTGACACGTTTTCCCCCTATTTTATATTGGGACTGCAAAAACTCCAAAACTTCCTAAAGAAGGGCATTCCCCTGTTAAACCTGTCTTATATTAACATCAGTTAAATAGTAAAAAATTTTAATAAAATTTTAAATTTAAAACTAAAACCCGCGGGATCATTCAAAATGTGCAACAACTGGGTAACTTTATAGTAACGTTTTTGCCAACCATTGGCTTTATCAATACCCAAATTTCCAGGGCAAACTTGAAGACAGGAGAACTATGTACAAAGAAAAGGTTTAAACAGTCCCCTCAAACCCAGCCAAGGGCGAAGAGCACCGTAGTCGTGGAGATTTTGAAGCAGAAGCAAGACGCCTGACGCTTATTTTAGTAACGTCAGGGGGAAATGGGGGGGGTAGCAGACGAGGGCATAGTCACTGGAGGGGGATTCCCCATTTGGAAAATAGGGGCATACCCAAAGGATGGGTTAGTTGTAGTAGTATTTCGTAGTCGTGAAGGGTTTGTAAAATGTCCCCAGAATCAAAAATTCCCCTGATGTTTTCGTGTCCGACCCGGTTTAAAAAGAAAGGGAAACAATACCGGGGGAAAATGAAATTTAGACGAGAAAGAGGAAAGGTTGAGGGAAATTAGACCCGACCCACATGGAAGGGCAGAAGGTCCGGGGGGACAAAATTAAAAGACAAACAAAATATTTCCCGGGGAATAAAACAAAAATGGACAGAGACAGGATGTTCCAGAAAGGGAACACAGAAACAAGGGGTCATAATTTGAAGCTGAAGACTCAGACGAGTCACAGGGACGTTAGGAAGTATTTCTTCAGCCATAGTCGTCAGGAAGTGGAATAGCCTAGCAAGAGAAGTAGTAGAGGCAGGAACCATACACAATTTTAAGAAGAGGTATGACAAAGCTCAGGAAGCAGAGATGGAGAGGACCTAGTAGCGATCAGTGAAGAGGCGGGGCCAGGAGATGAGTCTCGACCCCTGCAACCACAATTAGGTGAGTACAATTAGGTGAGTACACACACACACACCACACACACACGCACACACACACACACACACCACACACACACACAAAACACACACACACACACACCACACACACACACACACCCCAAAACACACACACACACAGGGGTCAGTCCCAGGACCAGTGCTGTTTCTGGTATTTGTGAACGACATAACGGAAGGAATAAACTCCGAAGTGTCCCTGTTTGCAGATGACGTGAAGCTGATGAGAAGAATTCATTCGATCGAAGACCAGGCAGAACTACAAAGGGATCTGGACAGGCTGCAGACCTGGTCCAGCAATTGGCTCCTGGAGTTCAACCCCACCAAGTGCAAAGTCATGAAGATTGGGGAAGGGCAAAGAAGACCACCGACGGAGTACAGTCTAGGGGGGCCAGAGACTACAAACCTCACTCAAGGAAAAACATCTTGGGGTGAGTATAACACCAGGCACATCTCCTGAAGCGCACATCAACCAAATAACTGCTGCAGCATATGGGCGCCTAGCAAACCTCAGAACAGCATTCCGACATCTTAATAAGGAATCGTTCAGGACCCTGTACACCGTGTACGTTAGGCTCATATTGGAGTATGCGGCACCAGTTTGGAACCCACACCTAGCCAAGCACGTAAAGAAACTAGAGAAAGTGCAAAGGTTTGCAACAAGACCAGTTCCAAATTTAAGAGGTATGTCCTACAATGAAAGGTTAAGGGAAATCAACTTGACGACACTGGAGGACAGGAGAGATAGGGGGGACATGATAATGACATACAAAATACTGAAAGGAATTGACAAGGTGGACAAAGACAGGATGTTCCAAAGATGGGACACAGCAACAAGGGGACACAGTTGGAAGTTGAAGACACAGATGAATCACAGGGATGATAGGAAGTATTTCTTCAGCTGCAGAGTAGTCAGGAAGTGGAATAGTTTGGGAAGCGATGTAGTGGAGTCAGGATCCATACATAGCTTTAAGCAGAGGTATGACAAAGCTCACGGTTCAGGGAGAGTGACCTAGTAGCGACCAGTGAAGAGGCGGGGCCAGGAACTTGGACTCGACCCCTGCAACCTCAACTAGGTGAGTACAACTAGGTGAGTACACACACACACACACACACACACACACACACACACACACACGTACTCATATACAACAGGCCTAGTGTCTAATCGACATGTGCCTAGGACAAAATGGTAACTAACACAGGAACATTTCTATCCTTACTGGCGGACCTTTCCTGGTATCTTCCTTGGGGTCAATTATGCAAAAAAAAATCCATGCAGACTTCTCAGGCAAGAACAGGTATGAATGCTGTCTAAATATTATCAAGGTGTAGACGCTTGCTAGACACGGAATTATATTCACTGTAGGGTATACAATAACACAAATGATACACAGTTATAACTTGTATGTAGATACACTTGCCTATTTGTGGTTGTAGGGGTTAATTCACAGCTCCTGACCCCGCCTCTTCCCTGCTCCGTGAGCTTGTTCGTATCTCTTCTTAATATTACCGCTGCTCATTGCTTGACTACACAAGACATCTTGTCTTGACTTAAAATATTGTGTAGTCAACCTATCTGATTCTGATTTCGCTTCGTTCTCGAGAGCTCTTTAGAACAAAATTACCGAGGTCAGCAAGTGTCCTCCGCTCTTCTACACCTGCCTTACAAATGCTCTACGGCCGGGTTTAGCTCTGGATCTTTCTCTAGAGGTATTCACCGTCTGTCCCCACTTTCCCCCCTCACCCCTTGTGAGTCTAACCTGTGAGTCTTCAATTCGTTTCAGATGGACTGATTACATCATCTTCCGCTGCTACTCCTGCGGACTCTGTATTTGACTGAAGAAGCCTACTATACATATGTCTTATTCATCTACTTGTTGATATTATATACCATTTTAATCATACGGTATGTATACACCGAGAAGTATACATCTCTCGGTGTGCACACTCTCACATTCCCACAAGCAAGCTGGCAAGCTTATATACCGCATGTCATGTACGTACTGTCATGCACCACATGTCATGTACGTACTGTCATGCACCACATGTCATGTACGTACTATCATGCACCACATGTCATGTACGTACTGCCATGCACCATATGGCATGCACGTACTGTCATTCACCACATGTCATGTACGTACTGTCATTCACCACATGTCATGTACGTACTGTCATTCACCACATGTCATGTACGTACTGCCATGCACCATATGGCATGTACGTACTGCCATGAGCCATTTATCACGTACGTACTGTCATGCACCACATCGTATGTACGTACTGTCATGCATCACATGGCATGTACGTACTGTCATGTGTCACATGTCATGTACGTACTGTCATGCACCACATGGCATGTACGTACTGCCATGAGCCATATATCACGTATGTACTGTCATGCACCACATGACATGTACGTACTGTCATGTGTCACATGTCATGTACGTACTGTCACGCACCACATGGCATGTACGTACTGCCATGAGCCATTTATCACGTACGTACTGTCATGCACCACATCGTATGTACGTACTGTCATGCATCACATGGCATGTACGTACTGTCATGTGTCACATGTCATGTACGTACTGTCATGCACCACATGGCATGTACGTACTGCCATGAGCCATATATCACGTATGTACTGTCATGCACCACATGACATGTACGTACTGTCATGCGTCACATGTCACGTACGTACTGTCATGCACCACATGGGATGCACGTACTGTCATGCGCCGCATGTGACGTACATACTGTCATGCACCACATCGTATGTACGTACTATCATGTACCACATGTCATGTTGTCGTATGGGGTTCGAAAGTTGGAAATGGGTGAAAACACACACTTCGGACGTCTGGTAACTTATAATTATGATTACTATAGGAGCGCAGAGCCTGACCTGTCTTCTCTCTTACGTCTCGACTAGAACTACTGTGTCATGTAGGGAGGGCGAGCGGCATTCAAACATCATGCTATGGTCAGCAGAATGACTCAGTAACGGTCAGTGATCCCGTAGGGAGACAGTGAATCAGTAACGGTTGGTATGAGTCACATACTACTGACACTACTGGTAACTGATACTACTAAGAATGTACGTACTGCCATGCACCACATGTCATGTACTATCAAATACTGCATGTTATGGTATAAACCTTGGTAATAAATACTGACAAGTAATAAATACCGGTAATAAATACCGGCATGTTATGTACTGTTGTGTACCGCATGTCATGTACTGTCGTGCACCGCATGTCATGTACTGTCGTGTACCGCATGTCATGTACTGTCGTGTACCACATGTCATGTACTGTCGTGCACCGCATGTCATGTACTGTCGTGTACAGTAATACTGTTTCTTGGTCGAGATTCGTGGCACATGAACAATTTCTTTGGACACAATGGTTATGAACAAGAGCCAAAAAAAGATAGTGATTAACGTCGACAAGTGATTAACGTCGACAAGTGATTAACGTAGACAAGTAGTAAGAAAAACACACGTATGCTGGTTTAAGGTATTTATTAAAGAGACGTTTCGCCCACCAGGGGCGATCTTCCATACATTTAATTGCTCACCTTAGTATTAAATTTCCCCTGACTAAGAAAGTGTGGTACAAATTACGCCTGTAGTTCATTTACTGTTTCTTAGGCTTTTCTGTACCAAAAGTTCGATGCCATCTGTGTCTGTGTCTGTGTCTGTGTCACAACAACACAAGGGTTATCACACGCTGCTTCATTATTTTTATTTTCTAGTATCAACCTTGGTAATAGGTACCGGTAAATTGGTTTAGAAAGACACGTAAACAAACACTAAGATATACTTCTTAGAAGACTTGGCTGCTGGGACCTTGATCACTTCTGACTTACTATTGTAAGATTCTCCGGTACATTTGCCGGCCCGGGTCTTTTCCGCAGTAAGAAGAATCACTAAATCCCATCCCTGGCAACACCCCCCTCCCCCCCACTCTTGATTAATGATACTCAGCATGGATTCACAAGAGGCCGGTCTTGTCTAACTAATTTATTAACTTTCTTCAGTAAAGCTTTTGAGGCTGTTGACCACGATAAAGAATTTGATATTATTTACTTAGATTTTAGTAAGGCTTTTGATAGAGTTCCGCACCATAGACTGTTAAAGAAAGTGGCAGCTCATGGCATTGGGGGAAAAGTGCTCTCGTGGATCGAGTCGTGGCTCACAGACAGGAAGCAGAGAGTGTCCATAAATGGGGTTAAATCCGAGTGGGGATCTGTAACAAGTGGCGTTCCACAGGGATCAGTCTTGGGCCCGTTGTTGTTTATAATATATATCAATGATCTTGAGGGAATTACTAGTGATATGAGCAAATTCGCCGATGACACAAAGATAGGTAGGATAATTGATTCAAACGTAGATGTTATGGAACTTCAGGAGGATTTAAACACTCTATTCTTGGTCAGAAAAGTGGCAGATGCAGTTCAATGTAGATAAATGCAAGGTTCTGAAGCTTGGGAGTGCCCATAACCCTAGTACTTATAAGTTAAATGATGTAGAACTTAGCCATACAGATTGCGAAAAGGACTTGGGGGTTATGGTGAGCAGCAACCTTAAACCAAGACAGCAATGCCTAAGCGTACGTAATAAGGCAAATAGATTACTGGGATTTATATCAAGAAGTGTAAGCAACAGAAGTCCAGAGGTCATACTGCAGCTTTATACATCATTAGTAAGGCCTCACCTAGATTATGCAGCTCAGTTCTGGTCTCCATATTACAGAATGGACATAAATTCGTTAGAAAACATTCAGCGTAGGATGACTAAATTAATACATAGCATTAGAAATCTTCCTTATGAAGAAAGATTGAAGACTCTTAAGTTACATTCACTTGTTAGACGAAGAATGAGGGGAGACATGATCGAAGTGTATAAGTGGAAGATAGGTATTAATAAAGGGGATATTAACAAGGTCTTGAGGATGTCTCTCCAAGAGAGAACCCGCAGTAATGGATTTAAATTAGATAAGTTTAGATTTAGAAAGGACATAGGAAAGTATTGGTTTAGAAATAGGGTAGTTGATGAGTGGAACAGTCTACCTAGTTGGGTTATTGAGGTTGGGACTTTGGGTAGTTTCAAATTTAGGTTGGATAAGTACATGAGTGGGAGGGGTTGGATTTGAGTGGGACTTTCACATCAGAGCTTATTTCTTGGGAGGCATTGAAAATTGGGTTGGGCAAATGTTTTGTTAGTGGGATGAATTGTAAAGGACCTGCCTAGTATGGGCCAACGGGCCTCCTGCAGTGTTCCTCCTTTATGTTCTTATGTTCTTATGTAAACTTACTCCCTGTTCAGAACATCCACACTTACTACTGTGCAATCTATCTACAGGACCTTAAATTCCAATATTAACCTTGACTTAAAACGCTTTCTTGATAGTTGTGACAGAACCCACAGGCATAACACCAGACACAAACATCTCTATGACATTCCTCGTGTCCGACTAAACCTTTACAAAATTTCATTGTATTTCAAAGGACCTAAAATCTGGAACACCCTACCTGAAAACTCTAGAACTGCAGACACATTCATCACTTTCAAAACTACAGTTAGAAAACATCTTATCTCCCTGATCCACCACGACAACTAACTAATGATAACCACCTGGTGGTTCACAATTATACTCACCCACTGATTATAAACACAAATACTAATCTTAATCTTAAAATTATGAATCCTAACTAGTCAAAAGTTTGTCTATGATACTCCAATATAGACACTTTGTATTGTGCTAAAACAAAAACATTCACATTGCTAAACTCACAAATTATGTAGTCACTTAGCCTTAATACCATAATCTGTAAGGATTTAATGTTAAGAATTAATCTAAGTCTGCTCGAAATGCCTAGCCATGCTAGATGTCCTAGTGGCCCCCTCTGTAATTAGTATTTTATAACATATAAACCACACAATATCCAAATCCTGTAAACTCCACATTGAACCCTTATAGAGAATAAACTTGAACTGAATTGAATTGAACTGAATTCCTTAAGTGAATGTGACCAGACCTGACTAGGTCTGGTCACAATTCTCCCACCGGCTTAAGCCGGTGGGAGAATTGGACCTGCCTCGCATGGGCCAGTAGGCCTGCTATAGTGTTCCTTCTTTCTTATGTTCTTGTCATCCCGTCATCCCAGCATGTCATTCTTCAGGTCACCATGCGTCACCCACACCTCACTCAGGTCACCATGCGTCCCTCACACCTCACTCAGGTCACCATGCGTCCCTCACACCTCACTCAGGTCACCATGCGTCACTCACACCTCACTCAGGTCACCATGCGTCACTCACACCTCACTCAGGTCACCATGCGTCACTCACACCTCACTCAGGTCACCATGCGTCACTCACACCTCACTCAGGTCACCATGCGTCCCTCACACCTCACTCAGGTCACCATGCGTCACTCACACCTCACTCTCCGCCTGTAAATACAGTCCTTTTTAACCTCTGTAAGTTAGAAGTGATCAAGGTTCCAGGACCCCACCGTTTTCTAAGAAATATATCCTAGTGTTTGTTTAACGAGTCTATTAAACACTTTTATCTTCCGTCAACAACAGCTTCCAGGTCCAAAATTTTGTACGTTACAGGACTTCACATAAATTTTATTACATGATCTTATGTATTAATTTCATTTTTTCTTTCACTTCTTGTTGTTGTTATTCTTGGCATAATTTACAATATTTGCCAAGATTTATTTTTTATAGAGGGAATTTTTTTTTTCAAAATTACATTTTTTACACTGCTGAAGAGGGTGCGCTAAACCCACAGGAGTCACACAGCACCTGGGGAAATTGATTCTATCCACAGAGGGGAAGGATAGGATCTGTTTTTTTCCAAAATCCATTTTGAAGTCACATTCAATGGTCTGTGGAATCTCCGAGGTAAAGCATCGTATAACTTTATCACAATATACTCTCGTATCTCCTGCAGCTGCAGCAGCTACTGCAGCAACTCCTGCAGCAGCTCCTGCAGGGTTAATGTCAGGGTCGCAATGGAAGGTCGAGCTGTCTCGAGTACTGGAAAGTGTTTCGTGAGGACAATATCCAGCACACGAGGTCCAGCATCCATGGGCAAGTGCTGGTCTCGGACGGCGCGATGCTGGTTCCTGACGGAGTGATGCTGTCATCTGATGCCGCGATGCTGGTTCCTGAAAAAGTCTCGCTACTCCCAGGTGACATCAAGAGGGTGAGGTACTGGAGCAAAGAGGAGTAGGAACTGTCCATCGGCTCCCCTCGCCTCATACTGCCTGTGTAGGAGATGAGTTCTGTGTTAGAACGCAAGAAAACACACACACACTACATGTGTACTATATTAACGGAAGTTATATATAACAAAGTAACAGAAATGAGGCAAGAGAGAGAGAGAGAGAGAGAGAGAGAGAGAGAGAGAGAGAGAGAGAGAGAGAGAGAGAGAGAGAGAGAGATGAGTGCATACTCTCAGAGTGCAACAAGGACTTTGTTACTGTACCTCTCAAGAGGCAGTTATAAAATCTTAAGGAAGAGGCAGGAATAAGAGGGAATGTACCATGTTGGATGAACGAGTCATTATGGGAAGGAGACGAAGAGTGACTGTCCGAGAGATGTCAGAATGGGAAAATGCAACAACTGGGTTCCCCCAGGGATCGGTATTAGGAACAGTACTGTTTGTGGTACATGTGACTGACATACTAGAAGAGCTAGAGCCAGGTATATCCCTGCTTGCAGATCATGTAAGATCAATAAGGAGAATAAAATCCGATAGGGACAAGGAAAGGCAACAAAGAGATATTGGTAGTCCAAGTGGCTACTGAAATTCAACCCCGGAAAATTCGAAGCTATAAAAGCTTGGAAAGTGGGAAGAAGACCGGAAACCGATTATAGACTCAGGGAACAGGCAGCAGACTTCTCTCAAGGAGAAACACCTAAAGGTGAGCATTAGTATTGAGCGTCTCGCCAGAAGCATACTTAAACCGAATAACCACTTCAGCAAATGCTCACTTGAAAACCTTAAAACTAGGTTTCAGAAAATCTTTAACAAAATATGTTAGGCCTGTCTTGGAGTACGCAGCACCATCATGGAACCCACACATGATAGAACACTATAAGAAATTAGATAAGGTTCAGAGGTGGGCAACGAGGTTACTTCCAGAGCTAAGATAAATCAGCTATTAAGAGAGGCTAAGTAAACTGAAGTTGACTGCATTAGAGGATAGAATAACCCAGGGAGAAATGATATCGACATACTGTTGCATCTTCTGACTAAGATTGCGCCATTATATTTGAGAAAATTTCTGAACAGAATTTCCACCTAATATCATATTACGATTTTCTCGTTAATAGCTGAAGTGGAGATGGTCCGCTTTGTCTTGCCTTGTACTCTCACGCTTAGTCTGATCTCTGTTTTCCAGAATTCCCTTTTCATATTCCAGTCCCTGACATGGGAATATCGGCGAAACTTCCTGTATGGATAATTTAAATTTAATGTCTCTGTGAAGACATTGATATGAGTTGTGTTAGTAACGTAACAGTTATTTCATGCTTTATATTGATTGCCTAACTCTTACTGGGAAATATGTCTTCCCAGTAAAACTCTTGTGTCGTAACAACAGCTGCATATATGAAAGCAAAAATAAGTAATTTCATGCTCTTTATTAACATTATGGTTCATAGAGATAGGAAGATCCAATCTCAATTTTATTATCATTATTAAAGACAATTTTGACTATCCTGAAAGTAAGAAGGTTAACAAAGAAGGCTAAAATTACTGTACTAAACCCTTGTTGCTGTTGGATTTCTCCCCTAGAGAAAAGCCAATATACAAACTGGTTCCACAAGAGATAATCAGTAGAACAATTTTACCCCTTTATATGCAACAATACAAAAATCTCATAGGATTTGAGAGTACTGGCAGAGAGAGACTGTTAGGCGGGCAAACAGGTACACAAGGCACAGCTGGAAACCAAGGACACACATGAGTCACAGGGACGTCATGAATTATTTCTTCAGCCTTAGAGTCGTCATCAAGTGGTATGAGCTGGACAAAGAAGTAGCAGAGAGAGAGAGAGAGAGAGAGAGAGAGAGAGAGAGAGAGAGAGAGAGAGAGAGAGAGAGAGAGAGAGAGAGAGAGAGAGAGAGAGAGAGAGGTTCCATACATATTTTTAAGAGGAAGGGAAGCAATATCAGATAATATTTTTTTGTAGACGAATGGTTCAGAGAACCGACATGTTGATAAATTAGACACATGTACAGCTCTTGGGTATCTTTATTGAGGAAACGTTTCGCCACACAGTGGCTTCATCAGTCCATACAAAGGAGAATCTTGAAGAACAGGAGGAGAATGTGTCTAATTTATCAACGTGTCGGTTCTCTGAACCATTCATCTACAAACCTGTCAGACACTGCAACTTCTTGGGATCTTAATATTTGGGAATTCTTCGCTTGCCTAACCCTTGGGCACGACCTACTTCCACATTGAACAAATGTTACACCACCTACGACTGCTGCACCTCTCCTGCCAACGGTTTATAAGCTCCTTCTCAGCACGTATGCCGTATTCTATTCAAGATTGATGGACTGACCACATCGACTCAAGGCTGAGGGACTGATTACCTCATTCTCCTCCTGTTCTTCAAGATTCTCCTTTGTATGGACTGATGAAGCCACTGTGTGGCGAAACGTTTCCTCAATAAAGATACCCAAGAGCTGCACATGTGTCTAATTTATCAATATTTTTTGGTCTCTTTAAACTCCTGTCAACATAAGCTGAAACATCACATTCATAAACGTAACAATAATATGAAGGTGGAACATTGGTGACGCAACCCCTGATACACAGGGACTGTGTGACGCAGCCCTTGATACACAGGGACTGAGTGACGCAGCCCCTGATACACAGGGACTGCATCACTGCATGACTGGACGTGAGGTGCATATTACTATGGACGTTGTCTTAACTCACAGTCCACCAGACTGTGACTTAAGACAAGTCACAAAGCACTTGAAGAATATAACTAATAAAAACAAGACGTAATCAACTCACTTGAGTGAGTTCAGTTTAACATCTTTATCATGCATTCCTGTGGGTGCTAGTCCAAAGGTTACACAGGCAGATAATGGGTCCAAGGACTGGGCCCCAAAGATTCATCACTAATTAGGTTACTGTAGTAATGAGCTAGTTACATGTGTATAATCTAGTTATAGTAGTAATTACTTGTATGGTTTGTTTGCAATCGTGTCATTACGATTTCGTGAGTCAGTAATTCGATCACAAAAACATTAGTGTTTCTCACATGTAGTTTTAACTAAATTATTTACATTGCATTATGTTTAGTCAAGGTATAGTTGAATTTAAGCAAATTTAAATAGCTGTGAGTTGTTTACAATAGGGGAATTTTTCTAGAATGACTGGTAATGCGCCACTGTGAATAAAATACTTTGACATTTCTTGTACGTATGTGAGTTACCTGAAAGACCTGGAGTGGAGCAGAGGGCCACCAGGAGCAGCAGCAGCAGTGGAGGCGGCCACACCAGGCCCCTCCCACACGGGGTCATCCACACCAGGCCCCTCCCACACGGGGTCATCCACACCAGGCTCCTCCCACACGGGGTCATCCTAAACAGTGAAAGATTCCACAATATCAGAAGTTCTTTTCCTAGTTGGGAAATGTCGCAAGGTTCTTGAACACACTGGGTGATAATTGCATCATAATCTAACTTAAAAAGCAATTATTTGCCAGGATTATTACTTAAATTATTTATAGGCAGATGTTAGTCATCAACTGTGGCTAAAACATGTGAAGTATAGTTCTCTAAGACATTAAAACATAAATAAGCTTATAAATATACATTTATTATGTGTATAAATGGACTCACTGTGTACTCATTTTGACTTTGTCAAAGTCAAAGTCTATATTTCAAAATTACTTTACCTAACGAACCATATAGTAATCTGAAGGCCCAGATGATGCTCATCATCTCACTGATTTATATCAGTGGGAGTCGTGTTACAGCTCCTGGCTTTGACACGTTAATGTGTATGATGTACTCTCAACTACCTTGTAATTAACTACACTCGTATATAAACACCAGTCTGATTTAACCATTAGCCTTGCTAATCTTCCCAGAGACTGACATCAACTAACTCTCTGATGTGCGTGTAAATCATTGTATAGGGATGTTTAAATCTGATGTACATGCAAATCACTGTATGGAGACATCTACTGTATTGCATAAAATGACTTATTGCTGATAAGTATGAACACAAAGATATAAGTTGCAGATTACGCTTTTACTGGAACAACGTTTAGCTCCGTGTAAAGCTTTATCATATCGCGAAACGTGCGCTAATGATAGCTTATACACAAATAGCCCGCTCATAGAAGAGAGGAGCTTACGACGACGTTTCTGTCCGGGTTATTTGTGTATTGTTCCAGTCACGGTATTGTGCCTTTTTTGTTACTTAAGATAACTTAAGTTGATGAGTAAGACGTGCAACATTTGTGATTGTTTATTGTTGAAACGTTTCGCCTATGCGGTAGGCTTCATAAAATACAGAGAATGTATTGTAGGCAGCAGGAGTAGTGACGAGGTAGTGATGAAGTAATTAGTCCATCAACCTTGGAGAAATAGGTGGTTAGTCCCACAGATTGTAGAAGAATTCAACTCCATGGTCTGGAACAATATGAAGCTGAAGCATGAAGGTGGAGTCTTAAATACAATCGAAGGTGAGGTGTGGAAGATCTCGATGTGTCAGGGGTCTCGAAGATGTGTCAAGGGTCTCGAAGATGTGTCAGGGGTCTCGAAGATGTGTCAGGGGTCTCGAAGATGTGTCAGGGGTCTCGAAGATGTGTCAGGGGTCTCGAAGATGTGTCAGGGGTCTCGAAGATGTGTCAAGGGTCTCGAAGATGTGTCAGGGGTCTCGAAGATGTGTCAGGGGTCTCGAAGATGTGTCAGGGGTCTCGAAGATGTGTCAGGGGTCTCGAAGATGTGTCAAGGGTCTCGAAGATGTGTCAGGGGTCTCGAAGTTGTGTCAGGGGTCTCGAAGATGTGTCAGGGGTCTCGAAGTTGTGTCAAGGGTCTCGAAGATGTGTCAGGGGTCTCGAAGATGTGTCAGGGGTCTCGAAGATGTGTCAGGGGTCTCGAAGATGTGTCAGGGGTCTCGAAGTTGTGTCAGGGGTCTTGAAGTTGTGTCAGGGGTCTCGAAGTTGTGTCAGGGGTCTCGAAGTTGTGTCAGGGGTCTCGAAGTTGTGTCAGGGGTCCACTAGTAGAAACAAGAACTAAGGAGTACTGCAGCAAGTCTATGTTAGGCGAGTCCCTCTGGACTCCAACTCTTCTCACTCATGTGTGTGATGAATGGTTTGAAAAACCGACAAGTTGAAGATTGAGACACTTATGCAGCATATGGGAATCTTTATTCAGGAAACGTTTCGCCACACAGTGGCTTCTTCAGTCCAATACAAAGAGGAAGGCATAAGGAGAGGAGGAGAATGAGGTAATCAGTCCCTCAACCTGGAGTCGATGTGTTCAGTCCATCAATCTTGTAGAATGTACAGCATATGGCCGTAGACGTGGCTTATATACTGTAGAGATGTGAGGTGAAGCAGGCGGAGGCGGGGTCATAGTGGTACCATCCACTAGTCGAAGTAGGTCTTCGTCCAAAGGTCCACTACTTCGACTAGTGGATGGTACCACTATGACCCCGCCTCCGCCTGCTTCACCTCACATCTCTACAGTATATAAGCCACGTCTACGGCCATATGCTGTACATTCTACAAGATTGATGGACTGAACACATCGACTCCAGGTTGAGGGACTGATTACCTCATTCTCCTCCTCTCCTTATGCCTTCCTCTTTGTATTGGACTGAAGAAGCCACTGTGTGGCGAAACGTTTCCTGAATAAAGATTCCCATATGCTGCATAAGTGTCTCAATCTTCAACTTGTCGGTTTTTCAAACCATTCATCACAACTGTCAGACACTGCAGCATCATGGGATCTGTTACAAAGAATTCTTCAACACTTGTTCAACCTTTGGACGAAGACCTACTTCGACTAGTGGATGGTACCACTATGACCCCGCCTCCGCCTGCTTCACCTCACATCTCTACAGTATATAAGCCACGTCTACGGCCATATGCTGTACATTCTACAAGATTGATGGACTGAACACATCGACTCCAGGTTGAGGGACTGATTACCTCATTCTCCTCCTCTCCTTATGCCTTCCTCTTTGTATTGGACTGAAGAAGCCACTGTGTGGCGAAACGTTTCCTGAATAAAGATTCCCATATGCTGCATAAGTGTCTCAATCTTCAACTTGTCGGTTTTTCAAACCATTCATCACAACTGTCAGACACTGCAGCATCATGGGATCTTGTTACAAAGAATTCTTCAACACTTGTTCAACCTTTGGACGAAGACCTACTTCGACTAGTGGATGGTACCACTATGACCCCGCCTCCGCCTGCTTCACCTCACATCTCTACAGTATATAAGCCACGTCTACGGCCATATGCTGTACATTCTACAAGATTGATGGACTGAACACATCGACTCCAGGTTGAGGGACTGATTACCTCATTCTCCTCCTCTCCTTATGCCTTCCTCTTTGTATTGGACTGAAGAAGCCACTGTGTGGCGAAACGTTTCCTGAATAAAGATTCCCATATGCTGCATAAGTGTCTCAATCTTCATCTTCTCACTCATAAACAGTTAAGCAGTTAAACCGTGTTCTTCTATAAACCGTGTTCTATAAACCGTGTAAACGCTTTTAACTTAATCTTGAGTGCACTGCAGTTTCAAATTTAGATCATTAAGACGGCTGGTAACAAATGGCGGTGTGAGTGCTCACTGAAAACAGATTGACGTGAAAGATGACATTCGCTAAAAGATGTTCACGAAATAAAAAAAAATACTAATAACTAAAAATGACAGCCAAGTTTTAGATTATTCTCAGTAAAACTCGTAGATGAATGGTTCAAAGAACCGACACGTTGTTAAATTAGACACATGTGCAACTCTTGGGTATCTTTATTGAGGAAACGTTTCGCCACACAGTGGCTTCATCAGTCCATACAAAGGAAAAACTTGAAGAACAGGAGACGATGTGGTCAGTCCATCAATCTTGAATAGAATACGGCATATGAGCGGAGAAGCAGCATATAAACCGTATGGCAGGAGAGGTGCAGCAGTCGTAGGTGGTGTCACATTTGCCCAATGTGGAGGACTGTTGAAGCCACTGTGTGGCGAAACGTTTCCTCAATAAAGATACCCAAGAGTTGCACATGTGTCTAATTTAACTCAGTAAAACTCATTTAAAGCTATGTTACTGGAATTTGTTATAATTTCTTTCTACAAATCGATTATTGGTTAATATTTTTGCATAAGTAGTCTCGCTTTATTACTATTGCGGGTGTAATGCGCCACTTCCAACCAGGCAATGCGCCACTTTTGGCGCATGTGTCATAGTCTGACTATCCTTGGCCTGGTAGAGCGTCGAACTATCAATTTACAGACCAAGGTTCGAGCCCCTCGTCCACTTTCTTGTGGCTTTTTTTTCTGAAATTAGTGTCTAAATATTGAATATTGTTTAAAAAATGTAGTGTTGGTCGACATTTAGAAAAATTTCTAGCCACGAGAGAACCAACACACAGGTTGCAGAGTGGCGCCGAAATATGGCGTAGTATAAAACAATTGGGAGCGTAATAAAGAAAAAATCTACTTTAATAACGCCCGATAAGGAGTGTATCGGTGTGAATGGAGGATCATGAAATAAGTAAACATCGTGGATTCCTGAAATTGTGAACTTCAAGAGTGACTCAGCTAGAGTAAAGCTGATAAGTGAAATATGAGATGCAACGTCGTCTGAAACGGGACACACCATTAGTATGTAAGCTTCCCAGTTCACTACAGTAGCTTGCTATGTTGGCCAATCTCTGATACATCTGTCTGTTAGGGAAGCGTTAGGATGTGAGACTCAAGAAATATTTGGCAAGTGTTCATTAAAATTTTGTATTTATAATGATGCACTTATGCAATATAAAATTGACATATGCAATTTATGCACATATACATTCTTCTATAAATGTGTATATTTTGTGGACCAAGTCACTAATTAGTAAAGTTAGGTCATTAGTAATCCACATATAGTCCACAAACATAATTTACCAATTTTACTGGTTTAAATTTAGTCATTCATAACTGTTTAGAAGTCCAGCTTATTTGAGTGTAGGATGAGTGGGTGGGTATCGAAGGCGGGATACTGTTGCCACTCAGTGTCCCTAAAATCCTACCCATCCCCGAGGTACAACTAATATCAGTGTTATGTTTGTTCTAGTTGTGCCCTCCCCAAATTATGTGTATGTAATAATTCAGGACAGTACCTGTAAACTTCACACATTATTTCTCAAACTTCCGTTAACTCATAGGATAATGTTATCCCTTTTCTTCCTCCAGAGTAGACCGCACGGTGGGTTCTACCTAGACAAGTAAGTCCTTAGACTAGTGAAGACGCTTGTAGACTCAAATGACCAAAGCCTCATCCACATTTCTTATGCAAGTGATGTGGAGGATTGTGTCCTGGAGGCTCTGTCTCTTTCTTTCTCTGTGTCTGAGGAGAATGTCGGCTGCCAAGACCGCACTCAGGGAGGAACTCATCGCTGTGTCGTTGAAAGTGAAGAGGTTGAGCCTCACACATAACTGGATGAGATCCATAAAATCTTATTCAGGAAGAGGAAGCGGCAGGTCATCAGGAATAAAGCTGTGGAGAAAGTCAATAAGCAAACCAGTGGAGACCCGAGTAAAGGCGGAGGTGACGTCAGGGTTCACAAGTTTTTTTTATGATCGAACCGTCAAGATTCCAATTGTGAATAAAAGACACATTTTATTATGGCAACTTTTCCATCAATTAAGATCTTTATTATGCCTTGATAAGCATCTTTTAACAGTTCGAAATGTTGTCCTAGCAAAATCTTGTTCAATAAAGTGTTTTAACAGTCACCAGTAACACGCTATTTAGTTCCAGTTTCCATGTCAAGCTGTGAATTATGCTCTCGCTTGAGGGGAACGAAATTTCTGCAGAAGACAATAAAGAAATGAGCGAAATGCTGAGCATACAGCATGACGTAACGTCCAGTAAACCGATAATCGGGCTGAAAGCCGACAACTCCCATGAATTTTTCATCACTAAACTATGCCAACATTTCTATCATAACCCAAATCCTACTGAACTCTGACGAGGTCATTATTAGCAGGCCTAGGTACTCTGTTCCAGATCCAAATTCACGGAACTCCATGTTCATGCAAAAACAGCAAAGTAAAAACAATGGGGCACATACATAGTCAAAAATCTTTCATGAAGTGTTGTATAGAAAGATTTTTAAATACGTGATAACACAACCCAAAACGTCTTGGGTCTAAAAGGTTAGGTAAGGTTCGTCAGGAAACAGAACAAATGTTTCCTAACGCGGGTCTTAGATGATGACCCTCCGTTGGAGCTTCTGGTTATCTGACCGAGGCCTTTCTCTGGCTTCCCGGTACACCCCTTTAAAATATATAGTCATAGTTCTAACCATTTAGTTGGGTCTAGAAAATGACACTCCTACATCCAGCAACTGATGACTCACTATCGTTGGCTTCTGTACATACTGGAAGACAGGTCAAACGATGAAGTAACATACAAAGACTTTACGAGAGTCTTCAACAAGTGTGATCATGGTGTATTAGCACACAAAATCCGTGAAAGAGCAATAACTGGAAAAATAGGCAGATGGATCTTCAGATACCTAGCAAATCGGATGCACCGCATAATAATCGATTAAGTAAAATCAGAGGTTTCTACAGTAAAATAAAAATAAGAGTTGTTCCTCAGGGCACAGTACTCGCACAATTTCTGTTTCTTATTTTCGTATCAAACAATGAGCAAGATTCTCATTCCTCGTAGCCCAAGGATAGCTGATACACCTACCTCTCATGTGGCAGTCTTGCTAATCCGCGACTACCTCTCCTCGCACTACACTGACGTCAGATGTCACTGGCATTCTGTCCAGGGTCCTCACTCGCGACTACCTTTCCTCGCGCTACACTGACGTCAGATGTCGCTGGTATTCTCACCTGGGTCTCTCACCATATTATTTTTTCTGATTCTATTTCCGCAACTTACTGGCCTTTAGTTCTGGACCGTTCTTGCAAACTGCGAACTTTTTAACTGATCCATAGACCGCAGCCATACCGCTCAGATGTGTACTCCTCTGCTAAACTTTCTCTTTTTCCTTTCTGCCTGGAGGCACGTTAGTGTGTACACTTAGTTTTCTCTTACTTCTCCATGCAAAACTTGAGACGCATGTGTCTCGTTGTCTTACACTGTCTTCCTTGGTAATCTAGTCTGATCACTTTCCCTAACAGGTCTATGATACACAGTTGCAAGACAGGCATGACCACTACACGTGTGTGTGTGTGTGTGTGTGTGTGTGTGTGTGTGTGTGTGTGTGTGTGTGTGTGTGTGTGTGTGTGTGTGTGTGTGTGTGTGTGTGTGTGTATGTGTGTGTTGTGTGTGTGTGTGTGTGTGTGTGTGTGTGTGTGTGTGTCCGTGTCCGTCTCTGTCTGTCTGTCTATATGTCTGTCTGTGTGTACAAGAATTAATATATATATATATTATATATATATTATATATATATATATATATATATATATATATTATATATATATATATATATATATATATATATATATATATATATTGAATAAGTCAGTAACATTATTATTTTAAAATTATTAAAACATGGGTCCTACCAGTAGTTTTGACAAGTACGGGAGGAGTTATATTATTTCCTTGGCTGGCAAAGGTAGTAACACTGATGGTATGAGAGTAGTCAGAGGTTGCTACATACTTAACCAATGATCAGTAGATTCCTTGAATACTTTTGCTGTGGAAGAGTGAAGTCGTTGACCCCTGATGCACGACACAGTGTCCACGTCCTTCCCACCCACACTGGACTAACCCACACGACCTGCCTCGCTGTTATACGCAGCAGCACCAGCACTCAGGGCAGCCACGGAGAAAGCTGCCCACTGAGGAAAAGTTATTAGCTGGAAGCTCCAGTGTGTCAAGTATACGGAAGACACGTAGTTTGTAAAAAGTGATTTTTTTGTCATGTTTTAATTACATTTCTCGACGAATATTTATGGAAAATAATGCGTTCCGTTAAGAGAGAGAAAAATAATCGCCTCCCACACTTCAGCTCTCCCACTCTTCCATCTCCCACACACCTTCATGATGCACCCATACCTCTTAACGCACCCATATCAAAATGACATAATATCGGAAAGAAAAAAATAAAATCTTGTGATATACTATGAAATGTTTTTTCATTTTTTTAGGAGATACAGAATAACCTACATAAAGATTTTTTTTATAAAGTGACAAGTGTTATTAGGACCAGAACCAGCTGGATTACATATATATATATTATATATATATATATATATATATATATATATATATATATATATATATATATATATATATATATATATATATATATATATTAATGTGGATATAATGCAGATGTGCGGGATTACCAAAATTATTATCCAGAGGGCTGAGGAGGGGGTTGTTGAGGTGACTTGGACATGTAGAAAGGATGGAACAAAATAGAATGACTTCGAGAGTGTATAAATCTGTAGTGGATGGAAGGCGGAGTAGGGGTCGGCCTAGGAAAGGTTGGAGAGAGGGAGTAAAGGAGGTTTTGCTTGCGAGGGGCTTGGACTTCCAGCAGACATGCGTGAGCGTGTTTGATAGGAGTGAATGAAGACAAATGTTTTTTAGGACTTGACGTGCTGTTGGAGTGTGAGCAAAGTAACATTTATGAAGGGGTTCAGGGAAACCGGCAGGTCGGACTTGAGTCCTGGAGATGGGAAGTACAGTGCCTGCACTCTGAAGGAGGAGTGATAATGTTGCAGTTTTATAACTATGATGTAAGCGCGCCTCTGGCAGGACAGTGATGGAGTGAATGATGAAAGTTTTTCTTTTTCGGGCCACCCTGCCTTGGTGGGAGACGGTCGATGTGTTATATATATATATATATATATATATATATATATATATATATATATATATATATATATATATAAATATATATATATATATATATATATATATATTAATCTTTACATGGGGTATTAAAGTAGCCTTGACTGGTAGTATACAGGTGACGTGGAGACTAATGACCCTCGTGTAGTTCAAAGGCTTTATTAAACCAACTGAATTAATAATAATCAACTTGGCTAATACGTTGTTGTGGGAAACACGCCTAGACGTCCTGGTTTTAACTAGATGTGTTTCAGTACCTATACAGTAAGCAAAAATTATCCCTGTATGCCATAAGCCCAGCCCCCTCTACCTCAATGGCTGAGAAAACGAATAGTATAGAGTATAGCATAAGTTTCTAATGTATATATAAATGTCAGCCTTTCAAGATATGAAGCCAATGAGATAGACACATATTAAGTATTGCATGGAATCTGATATCCCAATTTCTCCAATTACAATGGAAAATTGGCACCTATGCAGCTTAATGCCAGTTCAAACCTTCAACTAAGAACCATCAGTTTGAAAGTTTAAAGCCAATCGGAAGAACCAGTCTCTAGTTACTGCAGAGAGACCATTATCTCAAGAAAACACCAGCCTCTCAGAAGCTACAAATATTAATTTATCACTAAAAGATCTAAACTGATCGGTCAAGGCATCTTTTTTACTGCATCGAAACCAGTATTTCAATTTTCTCAACTCTACAATCAAACTGTCAAGTTAACAACCACACAACCTTACGCCAGTCCAAACCTTTCTCTAAAAACAGTAAGACACATACGTGTGGGGTACAAGGTATTATGTTCATCAGGAAACAAGTGTTTCCTGATGCTGGTCTTAGTCATATAATGACCTGCAGCTGGAGCATTTGGTCATCTGACCGAGGCCTTCCGCTGGCTTACCCCTCCACCACTTTAAAAGTTATGGTTATGTTATAACAATTTTAATTACTATTTATATTAACATGACTGAGTTATTTTAGTCATTGTTACTGAGCGCTTGTAGGAGTGTGTATGTCAGTGTCAGTCAGAGCCGCATTAAGATTTTGTAAGCCCCTGGGCTACAGGTACTGTGAAGCCCCTGGGCTACAGGTACTGTGAAGCCCCTGGGCTACAGGTACTGTGAAGCCCCTGGGCTACAGGTACTGTGAAGCCCCTGGGCTACAGGTACTGTGAAGCCCCTGGGCTACAGGTACTGTGAAGCCCCTGCGTTACAGGTACTGTGAAGCCCCTATGTTACAGGTACTCTGATGCCTTTGGGCTACAGGAACTGTGATGCCCCTGGGGTACAGGTACTGTAAAGCCCCTGGATTACAGGTACTGTGATGCCCCTGGGTTACAGGTACTGTGAGGCCCCTGAGTTACAGGTACTGTGATGCCCCTGGGTTACAGGTACTGTGAGGCCTCTGGGCTAAAGGTACTGTCAGGCCTCTGGGCTACAGGTACTGTGATACCCCTGGGTTACAGGTACTGTGAGGCCTCTGGGTTAGGTACTGTGAGGCCCCTGGGCTACAGGTACTGTGAGGCCCCTGGGCTACAGGTACTGTGAGGCCCCTGGGATACAGGTACTGTGAGGCCCCTGGGATACAGGTACTGTGAGGCCCCTGGGCTACAGGTACTGCGAGGCCTCTGGGCTACAGGTACTGTGAGGCCCCTGGGATACAGGTACTGTGAGGCCTCTGGGATACAGGTATTGTGAGGCCCCTGGGCTACAGGTACTGTGAGGCCTCTGAGCTACAGGTACTGTGAGGCCCCTGGGCTACAGGTACTGTGAGGCCACTGGGCTACAGGTACTGTGAGGCCTCTGAGCTACAGGTACTGTGAGGCCCCTGGGCTAAGGTACTGTGAGGCCCTGGGCTACAGGTACTGTGAGGCCCCTGGGATACAGGTACTGTGAGGCCCCTGGAACAGGTAAGTGAGGCCCTGGCTACAGGTACTGTGAGGCCTCTGGGCTACAGGTACTGTGAGGCCCCTGGGATACAGGTACTGTGAGGCCTCTGGGATACAGGTACTGTGAGGCCCCTGGGATACAGGTACTGTGAGGCCCCTGGGTACAGGTACTGTGAGGCCCTGGGATACAGGTACTGTGAGGCCCCTGGGATACAGGTACTGTGAGGCCCCTGGGATACAGGTATGTGAGGCCCCTGGGATACAGGTACTGGAGGCCCCTGGGATACAGGTACTGTGAGGCCTCTGGGATACAGGTACTGTGAGGCCCCTGGGATACAGGTACTGTGAGGCCCCTGGGCTACAGGTACTGGTGAGGCCCCTGAGCTACAGGTACTGGTGAGGCCCCTGGGCTACAGGTACTGGTGAGGCCCCTGGGCTACAGGTACTGGTGAGGCCCCTGAGCTACAGGTACTGGTGAGGCCCTGGGCTACAGGTACTGTGAGGCCACTGGGCTACAGGTACTGTGAGGCCTCTGAGCTACAGGTACTGTGAGGCCCCTGGGCTACAGGTACTGTGAGGCCCCTGGGCTACAGGTACTGTGAGGCCCCTGGGATACAGGTACTGTGAGGCCCTGGGATACAGGTACTGTGAGGCCCCTGGGCTAAGGTACTGTGAGGCCTCTGGGCTCAGGTACTGTGAGGCCCTGGGTACAAGGTACTGTGAGGCCTCTGGGATACAGGTTTCTGTGAGGCCCCTGGGATACAGGTACTGTGAGGCCCCTGGGCTACAGGTACTGTGAGGCCCCTGGGATACAGGTACTGTGAGGCCCCTGGGATACAGGTACTGTGAGGCCCCTGGGATACAGGTACTGTGAGGCCCCTGGGATACAGGTACTGTGAGGCCCCTGGGATACAGGTACTGTGAGGCCCCTGGGCTACAGGTACTGTGAGGCCCCTGGGATACAGGTACTGTGAGGCCTCTGGGATACAGGTACTGTGAGGCCCCTGGGATACAGGTACTGTGAGGCCCCTGGGCTACAGGTACTGTGAGGCCCCTGGGATACAGGTACTGTGAGGCCCCTGGGATACAGGTACTGTGAGGCCCTGGGATACAGGTACTGTGAGGCCCCTGGGATACAGGTACTGTGAGGCCTCTGGGATACAGGTACTGTGAGGCCCCTGGGATACAGGTACTGTGAGGCCCTGGGTACAGGTACTGTGAGGCCCCTGGGATACAGGTACTGTGAGGCCCCTGGGATACAGGTACTGTGAGGCCCTGGGATACAGGTACTGTGAGGCCCTGGGATACAGGTACTGTGAGGCCCCTGGGATACAGGTACTGTGAGGCCCTGGGCATACAGGTACTGTGAGGCCCCTGGGATACAGGTACTGTGAGGCCTCTGGGATACAGGTACTGTGAGGCCCCTGGGATACAGGTACTGTGAGCCCTGGGCTACAGGTACTGTGAGGCCCCTGGTACAGGTACTGTGAGGCCCCTGGGATACAGGTACTGTGAGGCCCCTGGGATACAGGTACTGTGAGGCCTCTGGGATACAGGTACTGTGAGGCCCCTGGGATACAGGTACTGTGAGGCCCCTGGGATACAGGTACTGTGAGGCCCCTGGGATACAGGTACTGTGAGGCCCCTGGGATACAGGTACTGTGAGGCCCCTGGGATACAGGTACTGTGAGGCCGCTGGGCTACAGGTACTGTGAGGCCCCTGGGATACAGGTACTGTGAGGCCCCTGGGATACAGGTACTGTGAGGCCCCTGGGATACAGGTACTGTGAGGCCTCTGGGATACAGGTACTGTGAGGCCCCTGGGATACAGGTACTGTGAGGCCCCTGGGATACAGGTACTGTGAGGCCCCTGGGATACAGGTACTGTGAGCCCCTGGGATACAGGTACTGTGAGGCCCCTGGGATACAGGTACTGTGAGGCCCCTGGGATACAGGTACTGTAGGCCCCTGGGATACAGGTACTGTGAGGCCGCTGGGATACAGGTACTGTGAGGCCCCTGGGATACAGGTACTGTGAGGCCCCTGGGATACAGGTACTGTGAGGCCTCTGGGATACAGGTACTGTGAGGCCTGGGATACAGGTACTGTGAGGCCCCTGGGATACAGGTACTGTGAGGCCCCTGGGATACAGGTACTGTGAGGCCCCTGGGATACAGGTACTGTGAGGCCCCTGGGCTACAGGTACTGTGAGGCCTCTGGGATACAGGTACTGTGAGGCCCCTGGGATACAGGTACTGTGAGGCCTCCTGGGATACAGGTACTGTGAGGCCCCTGGGATACAGGTACTGTGAGGCCCCTGGGATACAGGTACTGTGAGGCCTCCAGTGATATTTTCAAAAGGAAACAAAAAATATAATCCCATCAGTCAACAGTTCATCATATACGTGATGTAATAACATTCAATAATTATCAACTTACAGCAGTAACCGTGAACATTTTTTACTTAATCTCCGGAGGCCCTTCCTGGAGAGGCCTTCAGCTGAGGAGGCCCTTCAGCGGAGGAAAGGGCCTTCAGCTGGAGGAGGCCCTTCAGCTGGAGGAGGCCCTTCAGCTGGAGGAGGCCCCTGAGCTGCAGCCCCTGAAACCCATGCCTTAATCCGGCCCTGGTGCCACCTGTGAGCCATGTCTGTGACCTGGTGCCTCTTGAGCCATGTCTGTGATCTGGTGCCTCCTGTGAGCCTAGTCTGTGACCTGGTGCCTCCTGTGAGCCATGTATGTGACCTGGTGCCACCTGTGAGCCATGTCTGTGACCTGGTGCCTCCTGTGAGCCATGTCTCTGACCTGGTGCCTCCTGTGAGCCATGTCTCTGACCTGGTGCCACCTGTGAGCCATGTCTGTGACCTGGTGCCACCTGTGAGCCATGTCTGTGACCTGGTGCCACCTGTGAGCCATGTCTGTGACTCACTACGTGGGTCACTTGGTTACTTGCGCCCATTTTTGTTTTTTCATTTCCTTTCTATTTCCGTTTAGTCATTGATTTTACTCTGGGTCAGTTCTCACTTCACTTTGCTCTTCATTACTCGAAACAATCTGTTTTATTCTTCATTAATTTTTTATTACGGCATTTTTAATATTGTATTGACTGTATTTGTGGTTACCAGTATTATTGTTACTACAGTTAATATAATTGTTACGTAACCCATTTTTTTTAGGGCCGCCAGCAGTTCTTTCTCGTACAGAGTCTTTCTGGTTTATATACCTGTTTTTCTCTTGGGATAAACCTTGAGGGTTAAAGATCTAATAAAGTGTTGAGTGTGAGTGTTGAGTGTGAGTTCTGTGACTTCCTTGAATCCTCATGTCAAGCGATTCACTCTTCATTCATTGCTCGGTTGACCTCGCCCCTGGCAGGACACACACGCTGACACTCACCTTTGCAGTCTCCTTACGATCCCCATGGGGGGCAGGGGGACTTTTACCTTCTGCATTCGTCATCTTTGCTCTTCCATGATGTATTCAAATCGTGTTACGATCAAGCCTAGTAGTCGGACAGTAAATGATTCATCCAAATTAGCACTTGCAGTTACTTTGAGAGGTAGCTTGCAGGTCAAATTTAATAAGTCTTTCGTTCAAAGATGCATTCATTGTCGTAATGATGAGGTTGAAGCTGAGAAACTGATCACTACAGTCGGCACAACAACTCTTAACGAAAATGGATTCCAAGTTGTCTTCTCCAGGGCTGAGGGCAGAGATCTGTCTTCATTACACGACTGGACAAACTTGCAACAACCCAGTTCTTCGACGAAATTAAGACATTAATTGAAGATCAGAATTCTTGGGTCACTGTGGAATACATCACCAAAATTCCAAATGCATGTTCAATGCTAAAGATTATCTTCACTGACGCTACCATGGCAGCTCAAGCTATTGCTGATGGAATGACTATATTATACTATGATATCAATCCTAGCCATATTGAATCTGAACTATTTCAACACATCACGCCATGTTGGACCTGCTGCTTCTACCTACATCTCTCCAAGGACTGCCCTGTCAAGGATAAAAAAAAATCTGCTCGACTTACGGCTGTGAAGGGCATGATATCAAGACTTGCTCCATCACCTCTCCTTCAAAATACCTGAACTGTAAGAGTGAACATTGCATTCTTGCAGGTACGTGCCCAATGTGGAAAGAAATCATCAGGAAGAATCAAGAGGAACAAAAGATAACATCTGCAGTCACAAAATTGCAAGATGATAAAATTTTCAAGGACACTCAACCGACTTCCTCCTCCACCATCGGCTCACTGAAGGCACTCCTGCCAAAATTTACTATTGCATGATGTTTGCTCACATGCAAAATGTAACAAATCTATGATCCTTCAACACGACAATTAATGACCTCTTCAGACTCAACAAAATGCCAAGGTTTATCTTCCCAGATTCTTCACTTTCTGTCAATATACTCAAAGTTACTTCAAAAAACATCAACTTCGCAGCACCTGCAGACGTAATTCCTTCACCTGGCATCTGTTCTTGTTTCTAACAATCTCCAGCTGGTGACAAGACTCCTACAATAACATGCCACCAAAGACTTCCACTACTACTACTGCTCCCGGTTAATCACAACCTTCAACTCAAGTCTACCTACATACTACAGAAACACAACTACCCGAAGAAGAGGAAGAAGTGGAAGACACGGAAGAAGAAGCAAAAGAGGATAGAACTTGGGCAAATGTAGCCTTCTATACAACTGTACCATACAGCAAGTTGATGTTATGGATGAAGTGGTCTCTCGACTTCAACAAGGAACAGCGAAGTTTTACATGCGGCTGGTTTAGCCCCGAATCTCTTTCTTTGACTCAAGACATTCCTCTCCAGAGTTACTCTTCTGCTGTCCCTCCCTCCCCGCTCACCCCTTATGGGTCTTACCTGTGAGTCCTCTGTTCTGTTCTGTACTCTTCCCTCTGCAGTATCTGGTACCATTAAGGCTTCACCAAACGTGTTCACCACCATCAAGAATTCGTTTAATCCCTAAAGGCATAGTCCCAAACCGTTGTTCTAGCGACCTTGTTATCAAGATTGGGATAAGGTATTCTCCACCCATCTATTCACACTAAGAAAGTCAACAGTCAACCTGAACTGCGACTTGATTGCAAATTTTGACAAGAAATTCTCCCAAGCACTGCGCTAGAACTTACTTTTGTCTCTTCCCCACCGTAGAGCTGTTGGTGCCTTCACCAACAGCTCTACGGCACACAATACCGGAGAAAGGAAACACGCCCAATGTTCTACCCTTACCGGGAATCGAACCCGGACACTCACCATGTGAAGCGAGAGCTTTCGCCACCTGGCCACGGGGCACATGTTACACGCAAGTTAATGACCCTCGTGCAAGTGATAGGCTTTAAACCCCATTAACCAGCCAACATTTATCTTCTGTTTTAACATAAACTTAATATACACATCAAAACATTGTTTTAACCTAATCTGCCATAAGTATTTGCCAAAATAGTTAAACCTAGTGCCAGTAGAGAGAGAGAGAGAGAGAGAGAGAGAGAGAGAGAGAGAGAGAGAGAAGAGCATTTTCTAAACATTCAGTTGGTAGGCTCAATGACCAAATACATATTTTCTCTATTTAATTTGTTTTACTAAACTTATTACACACACAAAAATAAATATATAAATAATACACAGAGAATAAATATAATCTAGAGAAATATTGAAACTACGTAACTACGTAAATAACAAAATGGAACAATACCGTGACTGGTACAATACCGTGACTGGCACAATATCGTGACTGGCACAATACCGTGACTGGCACAATATCGTGACTGGCACAATACCGTGACTGGCACAATATCGTGACTGGCACAACATAATCCGTGACTGGCACAATATGAATACGTGACTGGCACAATACGTGACTGGCACAATCCGTGACTGGACAATCCGTGACTGGCACAATACCGTGACTGGCACAATATCGTGACTGGCACAATATCGTGACTGGCACAATATCGTGACTGGCACAATACCGTGACTGGAACAATATTGTGACTGGAACAATACCGTGACTGGCACAATACCGTGACTGGCACAATACCGTGACTGGCACAATACCGTGACTGGAACAATACCGTGACTGGAACAATACCGTGACTGGAACACTGCATAATGGGAAGAAACTAATGACAACGTTGCGATCCAACTACGGCCATTAACTAGTCACACAGTGTTGCTAGTTAATGACCCAAGTTGGACCCAAACGTCGTCAAAAGTGTCATTTTGCAATGTGCGGGTTGTTTGTGTGTTTACAAATGTGAAATTGCTTCATATTTGGAATAAAATTAAATCCTTCGCACATCAGCATTGAAGTCTATTCTTGTGCAACAGTTGGGTGTCTCTACTGTTGCGACTTTTCGCTCACCGTGTAGGCGAAACGTCTTGCTCATCGGTATTGTGTATCATTTTTCACAATAAAATCTATACATATGAAGGATATATCCAAAGAGATGTGTGTGTCAGTGTATATACACCGAGCGATGTGTATCTCTGTGTATATACCACGAGAGTCCCGTTTAGGGATTAAAATATTCTTGACTGGTTGTGACTGGGATATATATATATATAGATATACTTCATGACCATCGTGTAGTCGATAGGTTCTAAACCAAAGTAAACAACTGACCGTAAGTACAACATATATTTGCAAAAGATAATCTTACAACTAAATTGTTCACTATATTCCAACTACATTTAGAAAAAAAAAGGAATATTCATGGAACAATTAAAGGGCTGGGAAGACTATATCACGCGTGCACACACGCAAAAATATATATATATATATATATTCTTTGGATGATTTGTAGCGGACGGAGCATCGAGCCTTCACCACCCCTTGCTCTCAAGGACCCACATGGGTTTTAGCGCTTTTCATAATTATACTTAGTTAAATAAAACTGATACAACGTGTGAATGTGCTAATTATTATTATTAATTATTATTATTATTATTATTATTATTATTATTATTATTATTATTATTATTATTATCATTATTATTATTAGAAACTGAAATAAATTGTCGGCATATTCATTGGCAAAGGAGACTTTATCAGTGCCTTGAGGAAATCGCAAGAAAAATATGCAAGAAATTCACTTAGACTCGGCAGCGTTTTCTCTGTTCACACAGCTGCAGCCTAGGCCTACACAAGCAGTGATTTTCTTGCATATTATTTATACTTTAGCAACGTGTACTGTTACTAACAAGAGTGGTTAATATATGGTACTGTGTACCATTGCTACCAGCAGGAGAGTGTGGTTATGAATGACACCTGGTCGTGTGTACCTTCACTATCAGCAAGAATGCGTGGTTATGGATGACACCTGGTCGTGTATACCTTCACTACCGGCAAGAATGCGTGGTTATGGATGACACCTGGTCGTGTATACCTTCACTACCAGCAAGAATGCGTGGTTATGGATGACACCTGGTCGTGTATACCTTCACTACCGGCAAGAATGCGTGGTTAGGGATGACACCTGGTCGTGTATACCTTCACTACCAGCAAGAATGCGTGGTTAGGGATGACACCTGGTCGTGTATACCTTCACTACCAGCAAGAATGCGTGGTTATGGATGACACCTGGTCGTGTATACCTTCACTACCAGCAAGAATGCATGGTTATGGATGACACCTGGTCTTGTATACCTTCTCTTCTGCTTTTCTATCCTTGACTCATACACCTAGATAATACAAGATGGTCCTTAATCTGGGTTGCCACGTCCTCTGCTGTTTGTCTTTTCCCTTGTACTCGTATGGCTACCAATACCAGAGTGTGTGACTGTCACCTGATACTACCAGTACCAGAGTGAGAGTGACTGACACCTGACACTACCAGTACCAGAGTGAGGAATGTGACTGACACCTGACACTACCAGTACCAGAGTGAGAGTGTGACTGGCACCTGACACTACCAGTACCAGAGTGAGGAGCGTAACTGACACCTGACACTACCAGTACCAGAGTGAGGAATGTGACTGACACCTGACACTACCAGTACCAGAGTAAGAGTGTGACTGACACCTGACACTACCAGTACCAGAGTGAGGAATGTGACTGACACCTGACACTACCAGTACCAGAGTGAGGAGTGTGACTGACACCTGACACTACCAGTACCAGAGTGAGAGTGTGACTGACACCTGACACTACCAGTACCAGAGTGAGGAGTGTGACTGACACCTGACACTACCAGTACCAGAGTGAGGAGTGTAACTGACACCTGACACTACCAGTACCAGAGTGAGGACTGAGGCTGTGGTTGACCCCTGGCCATGTATCCCAGGTGTTGTGCCTGACGCCACGGGTTGTTCAGCTGGTGCCTAGCTTCCACCTGTGGTGGATGCTGGCGGCGGCGTCTGGCTGCCTCAACTTCCATCCTTCCCTCCTGCAGTGAAGGCTCCTTCCTCTCTCTGCTCTCACTGGCATGGTGGTGAGGCTCTGGCCACGATGGATACAAGTTTGAAAATCTTTCCTGCAACAGTGAAAAATTAGGTAAATATCTTGATTATAGTGTAACGCGCTGGTGAGAATATGCTTGAGCTTATCAAATATGAGAACAAAGCTGGATTTATGTGTAAGTTAGGCTACGAGACCTCACGATATTCGGGATCTCACAATTTTTACCAGCCATTTTACTGTTTCCTATTGAGATTTAGATTTCTGTGGCTTTTACACTTGACATATCTTAGGTTCTTTGTAATTGCCGACCCTAGAGGGTTTAATCGCTTGATTTTAACTATAATAACAATAATTTGTAAATGTCTTGATTATTAAAAGTGTAAATGTAAACTGACTGAGAACAGTACAAGTAACTTGCTAACCTTGGAGAGAGGGACAGTATCATGTGAATTTTTTAACTACTCATGAAAAAGCTTGAATTACTGCATAAGCATCTTTCTCGAATTTCACCGTGACAATACTTGTCAGTGTGAAAAAAAATATAATATTAAAATAATTACTACAAATCATTATGAATGAAATACCCATCAAGGGAGGTAGAGAGCGGGTTCATGACTGGAAGAACTTGACATGTCCTCCTCTTCATGGGCTCCAACCAGATTGTCTTCCATTCCCGGAGCTCCATATGATCCCATATGAGCTCCGGGCTTTTTCCCCTGATTATGATGGAAATGGGCTTACCATGAGAGGTGAGTGAGTCTGACTGGAACCTGTGGACTTGCCGGGGAAGATGATCGGGTCTTGAGCGTCACCGTCTTCCTCTGATAACGACACACTCACTGCCCCTACGAAACACTGGTACTAAGTGATTTGATGACTTAAAAGATATGGACAAGTGGAAAGAGTGGATAAGTAAACATACTACACCTGTGTGTGTGTGTGCATGAGTGAGGCAGAAGAGAAAGTAACACCTGGCACTTTAATTTCGTCATTTAAATAACGCATGTCAGATTAACCATGTAGCAAAATTACGACTGATTTGTAAACGCAACGTCCCGATCAATGCGTGTTTTGTGATAGCCATTTAAGTCCCACTGACTCATTCAAGCCAGGTCCCACTGACTCATTTAATCCAGGCCTCACTGACTCATTCAAGCCAGGTCCCATTGACTCATTCAAGCAGGTTCCACGGACTCATTCAAGCCAGGTCCCGCTGACTCATTCAAGCCAGGTCCCACTGACTCATTTAAGCCAGGTCCCACTGACTCATTCAAGCCAGGTCCCACTGACTCATTTAAGCCAGGTCCCACTGACTCATTCAAGCCAGGTCCCACTGACTCATTCAAGCCAGGTCCCATTGACTCATTCCAGGCAGGTCTTACTTACTGATACAATCCAGGTCCTCTTGGCTAATGCAAACCAGGTCCTACTGACTCGTGCGATCAATGCCCTACTCACACCCAGTCATTCTCACTCGCGTGTTTGTGTAACCTAGAGACTGGATATACATTGTTGATAGAAACATATGTACCATGACCTGTTTAATTAAAAAGAAATCATCCGTTGTCTGATGAATCAATGTTACCCCGAATTCAAAGGGGTTTAACTCTTAACTTTTATTACATTAATAATCCGAATTTCAAGACAAAAAGTCCTCTCTATCAATGAAGTTGTGATAATTGACCTATGATAAGTAAATTTACATTCTTTTTTAGGAATAGGCTGTCAAGTAGCGTCATTGCATCCAGTACTTTGGGTTGCTTTAAAAAAATATTTCAGACAAGAGTACTTACGAGAGTGTACAGGAGTGAGGGTGCAGTAGAGGAACAGCACCAGCAGCGCCCCCACCAGGCAGGTCATGTGGAAAACAAGACGTCGCAGGCACAGTCTAGACGGGAGAAACGTTGTGTAGGTTAATCTAAGTCTCCACACAATAACACCTCTTAACAAAAGCAAAAAAAAGATGGCGAGGATCAGGGAAAGATGTTGTCAAACCGTTTTCCATCTGACAGATGGAAAACGTGGCTGAAACAACGTATCGCTTGGAGGCCATTTTTGTGAATTCTTCCCAAAAATGTTATGTATCTGCTTTAGTGATGTTCTCGTCGGGGAAAAATATAATACTGGAAAATTTTGACGGCTAATTAAAGTGAACTGTTTGTGGAATATATACGTGGAACTCCGGGGTTATTAAATGCCATGAATCAATATAAAAAAGAAGAAATAACGAAGTATTTCCAAGGAAACACACACTGAGAGGTGTGTATTAATCCGTGTGTATACCAGAGAGTTTACTGTGATCCCATGAGAATATATACACCGAGAGGTGTATGTCTCTCAGTGTATATGCACTGCACTCAGAATTTACTTTAATCCCTATTTTAGGGATTAAAGCAGCTTTAATTGTCGTCATGTAGCCTAGAGGCTTTAAAACCAATTAACAAACCCAGTCTTACACTCATACATACACTGAAAGGATATATGTCATCCTGAACCCATCTTTATCTTATTCCAATCCCTGTTATGAAGCACTCGATTCAATGATTGGTTAATATTACACTGTTATACACTGTCTCGTCGGATACACTGAATCTATCTACACTGATTATTTTTCTAATCTCACAGTGTTCGATTCTATATTATACCACATCGTTTATGCAAGACTATTACACGCTAGGTATAGACGTCAGTCAATCTATTACGTAGCTGGACAGACCTACAGTCCCAATAGTACTGATATATGAATATATATATATATATATATTATATATATATATTATATATATATATATATATATATATATATATATATATATATAATATATATATATATATATATATATAATATATATATATATATATATATATATATATTATTATATATAACGAATCCATCTGTAGCTATTTGGTTAAAGAATTTTAAATATATTATAAACATTATTACAACACGAAATTCTGTGCTCCGCTGGGACACAGAGTTCTTTGTCAACATGAGACCTGCTACCTGAACTTGATATTGTGTGTTATTACTTGGTAATACTCTTATGTTATTACTTGGTAATACTGCTGTGTTACTACTTGGTAATACTGCTATGTTATTGCTTGGTAATACTGTGTTATTACTTGGTAATATTGCTTTGTTATTACTTGGTAATACTGCTGTGTTATTACTTGGTAATATTGCTGTGTTATTACTTGGTAATACTGTTGTGTTATTACTTGGTAATACTGCTGTGTTATTACTTGGTAATACTGCTGTGTTATTACTTGGTAATACTCTTATGTTATTACTTGGTAATACTGCTGTGTTACTACTTGGTAATACTGCTATGTTATTGCTTGGTAATACTTCTGTGTTATTACTTGGTAATATTGCTTTGTTATTACTTGGTAATACTGCTGTGTTATTACTTGGTAATACTGCTGTGTTATTACTTGGTAATACTGTTGTGTTATTACTTGGTAATACTGTTGTGTTATTACTTGGTAATACTGCTGTGTTATTACTTGGTAATACTGCTGTGTTATTACTTGGTAATATGCTGTGTTATTAATTGGTAATACGCTTGTTACTTGAAGTTGTGTATTATTAATCGCTGTGTTATTACTTGGTAATACTGCTGTGTTTTACTTGGTAATACTGTGTGTTATTACTTGGTAAATGTGTGTTATTACTTGGTAATATGTGTTATTACTTGGTATTACTTCTTGTTTACACTTTAATATGCATGTTTTAAATTGGTCATACTGCTGTGTTATACTTGGTAATATTGCTTTGATATTACTTGGTAATACTGCGTGTTAATACTTGGTAATACGCTGTGTTATTACTGGTATACTGTTGTGTTATTACTTGTAATACTGTTGTGTTATTACTTGTAATAATGTCTGTTATTACGTAAACTTCAGTGTTATTACTTGGTAATATTGCTGTGTTATACTTGGTAATACTGCTGTGTTATTACTTGGTAATGCTGCTGTGTTATTTCTTGGTAATACTGCTGTGTTATTACTTGGTATACACATGCTGTGTTATTACTTGGTATACTGCTGTGTTATTACTTGGTAATTACTGCTGTGTATTACTTAGTCAATACGTTGTTATTACTTGGTAATAATCTTGTTATTATACTTGGTATATACTGCTGTGATTATTACTTGGTAATACTGCTGTGTTATTACTTGGTAATACTGCTGTGTTATTACTTGGTAATATCTGTGTATTACTGGTAATACTGCGTGTTATTACTTGTAATACGCTGTGTTATAACTATGTAATACTGCTGTGTTATTCTTGGTAATACTGTTGTGTTATTACTTGGTAATACTGCTGTTATTACTTGGCAATACTGCTGTGTTATTACTTGGTAATACTGTTGTGTTATTACTTGGTAATACTGTTCTGTTATTACTGGTAATACTGTCTGTGTTATTACTTTGTAATACTGCTGTGTTATTACTTGGTAATACTGCTGTGTTATTACTTGGTAATACTGCTGTGTTATTACTTGGTAATACTGTTCTGTTATTACCTGGTAATACTTCTGTGTTATTACTTTGTAATACTGCTGTGTTATTACTTGGTAATACTGCTGTGTTATTACTTGGTAATACTGTTGTGTTATTACTTGGTAATACTGTTTGTTATTACGTAATACTTCTGTGTATTACTTTGTATACTGCTGTGTTATTACTTGGTAATACTGCTGTGTTATTACTTGGTAATACTGTTCTGTTATTACCTGGTAATACTTCTGTGTTATTACTTTGTAATACTGCTGTGTTATTACTTGGTAATACTGCTGTGTTATTACTTGGTAATACTGCTGTGTTATTACTTGGTAATACTGCTGTGTTATTACTTGGTAATACGTTGTGTTATTACTTGGTAATACTGCTGTGTTATTACTTGGTAATACTGCTGTGTTATTACTTGGTAATACTGCTGTGTTATTACTTTGTAATACTGCTGTGTTATTACTTGGTAATACTGCTGTGTTATTACTTGGTAATACTGCTGTGTTATTACTTGGTAATACTGCTGTGTTATTACTTTGGTAATACTGCTGTGTTATTACTTGGTAATACTGCTGTGTTATTACTTGGTAATACTGCTGTGTTATTACTTGGTAATACTGCTGTGTTATTACTTGGTAATACTGCTGTGTTATTACTTGGTAATACTGCTGTGTTATTACTTGGTAATACTGCTGTGTTATTACTTGGTAATACTGCTGTGTTATTACTTGGTAATACTGTTGTGTTATTACTTGGTAATACTGCTGTGTTATTACTTGGTAATACTGCTGTGTTATTACTTGGTAATACTGCTGTGTTATTACTTGGTAATACTGCTGTGTTATTACTTGGTAATACTGCTGTGTTATTACTTGGTAATACTGCTGTGTTATTACTGGTAATACGTTGTGTTATTACTTGGTAATACTGCTGTGTTATTACTTGGTAATACTCTGTGTTATTACTTGGTAATACTGTTGTGTTATTACTTGGTAATACTGCTGTGTTATTACTTGGTAATACTGCTGTGTTATTACTTGGTAATACTGCTGTGTTATTACTTGGTAATACTGCTGTGTTATTACTTGGTAATACTGCTGTGTTATTACTTGGTAATACTGTTGTGTTATTACTTGGTAATACTGCTGTGTTATTACTTGGTAATACTGCTGTGTTATTACTTGGTAATACTCTGTGTTATTACTTGGTAATACTGTTGTGTTATTACTTGGTAATACTGCTGTGTTATTACTTGGTAATACTGCTGTGTTATTACTTGGTAATACTGCTGTGTTATTACTTGGTAATACTGTTTTGTTATTACTTGGTAATACTGCTGTGTTATTACTTGGTAATACTGTTGTGTTATTACTTGGTAATACTGCTGTGTTATTACTTGGTAATACTGCTGTGTTATTACTTGGTAATACTGCTGTGTTATTACTTGGTAATACTGTGTGTTATTACTTGGTAATACTGCTGTGTTATTACTTGGTAATACTGCTGTGTTATTACTTGGTAATACTGCTGTGTTATTACTTGGTAATACTGTTGTGTTATTACTTGGTAATACTGACTGTGTTATTACTTGGTAATACTGCTGTGTTATTACTTGGTAATACTGTGTGTTATTACTTGGTAATACTGTTGTGTTATTACTTGGTAATACTGTTGTGTTATTACTTGGTAATACTGCTGTGTTATTACTTGGTAATACTGTTGTGTTATTACTTGGTAATACTGTTGTGTTATTACTTGGTAATACTGCTGTGTTATTACTTGGTAATACTGCTGTGTTATTACTTGGTAATACTGCTGTGTTATTACTTGGTAATACTGTTGTGTTATTACTTGGTAATACTGTTGTGTTATTACTTGGTAATACTGTTGTGTTATTACTTGGTAATACTGCTGTGTTATTACTTGGTAATACTGCTGTGTTATTACTTGGTAATACTGCTGTGTTATTACTTGGTAATACTGCTGTGTTATTACTTGGTAATACTGCTGTGTTATTACTTGGTAATACTGCTGTGTTATTACTTGGTAATACTGTTGTGTTTATTACTTGGTAATACTGTTGTGTTATTACTTGGTAATACTGTTGTGTTATTACTTGGTAATACTGCTGTGTTATTACTTGGTAATACTGCTGTGTTATTACTTGGTAATACTGCTGTGTTATCACTTGTTATTACTGATATGTTTTTATTCTTGTTGATTATAATGTATGTTGTATCAGCCTCTCATGCGTCAGCACCTTGAGGATTATGTCAGAATTTCAAGCAGTTTTTTAATAGTTTGGCTGATAAACAGTACCTACATGTGTGATGAGACACAGTAGAGCTTCAAGTCATGACTTGAAGCTCTACACACAAGAGGAAAACACCCGATAAAAATTTTCTTGCGCATTTCTGTTGGGATAATTACATTTGTAATGGTTCTGCAGGAGCGAGAGAGAGGCAACTTAACAGGTAATACTCACCACAACAGAGGTTATTGACTCCTGTACTCTGTATGGCACACACACACGCGCGCTAATATACCTCAAACTTGAACGTAAATCCAGGCGATTAGTTTGCTCGGTTTGTCTTCGACAAGCTGGTAAGACTAAGTTAAAGTCCGCTACTGTAGAGTCCGCCAGCCACAGTGTGAGAGTGAAGGGACTCTCCGAATCACTGTTATGTACACTAAGTCAGTCAGACCTTACTTTCACCCTAAGCCAACACGGCAGCTCCACGGGGAAAGAACCCCATACCAACTTCCACGGAAATACGCTACTAGGGGGAATAACCCTTCTACGTGGCGATCACCCTTTCCACTGCCACTACGGAAAAGATTTTTTCCCAATTGCGTGGGGGGAAAATTCTAACTTTCATTTTGTTTTTTGTATATCAATCATTTGGATACCATCCCATGCATTAGCTATCATAATGACTAACCAGAAGGCTAGATCTGCATGTTGCTGGCTGGAGGTTCCACCAGTCTACACAGAAGCGAATCGTAGTCACAATAAATACTCTTGAGTTTATTCTACAGTATTGCCGTCAGTACTCCTACAGCAAGAGTCCGCACGGATACCAATATATATTTGAGTAAGTCTCCATACCATCACTCAACTCTCTTTTATCGAGAGATCTCGATACAACACTGGTATCATAGATACAGTAGCATAATAAATGACCATCACTCTTGTAGATGGTGCGAAAATTTTACCATATTGTTGAGAGTAACAAATACAGTCTCCAGTACTCCTAGCAGAATCTCTGATGTCAGCTATGTATGTTCTATCGGCGTCATTAGGTTGCTGTATCTTTCACATTCTATGAAGTGAATATCTCCTATTTATTGCTTCTAGCTTCATCGCCGAATGTTCATGACTGTTTAAATAGGTCACAGAGATCAAGGAAAGTAACAGGTGTGTTCTCGACCCCTTACCTCTTGCTGTTCCTATCCTGCCAGTCACCTGTGTTTGCATACCCTGTCCCTTCCACCCACTCAACACCGCCCCCTTCTCTGGACCACCCTCATCATCCTCCCTCTCCACCACCTCACGTCTTAACCACCTGACCTCTCCTCTACCTCACCTCTCCACTACCACCTCATCAGCCCACCTCTCCACAGACCAGCCCTCCATCCAGCATCTGCACCGTTAACCTTCCACGTCTCCTCGTCTTCCCATTTATCCACCATAGCCAAAGAAAACACCATCCACGGTGTTTAAGGATGGTAGAACTTAGTCCACAGTATTGAAGGATGGTAGACCTTAATTCACAGTGTTGAAGGGTGGTAGACCTTAATCTATAACGTTCAGTTCATGGTTTTCAGAAGTTCTGGACCTTAGTCCACTGCTTTCAAGGGTGATGGGCCTTCGTCTACGACAGTAATGAACTTGCGCAGAGCGCCTTCAAGAGTGAAACCCGCCCAGAGCGCCTGCAAGAGTGGACTCCGTCAGCATCCAGTCTAGAGACTGGATGCTGTGGATTTGGTCCTCAAGCTTTATATATTGGACTGTCTTGAATATTATTGGACTGTATCTTTTGTTATTAATTGTGTCCCTTACTTATGTCACTTCATATACTGGACTGTCTTAAATATTATTGAATTGTTCAATGTTATTGTTTTGTGTCCTTTATATACTTTAAATTAAGTAATGGACTGCCTTCAGTATTATTGGACTCTCGTCCAATATTATTACATTGTCCATGACAGTGTCATCCATCGAGGACACTGCAAGTCTCTAAGCGGACATCAACCAAATCTTTAAATGGGCCACAAAAAAACAATATGAAGTTTAATGAAGAGAAATTTCAATTACTCAGCTATGGAAAACTCGAGGAAATTAAAACTATATCGGAATATAAAGCAAATTCCAACCACACAATAGAACGAAAAACTAATCTGAAAAACCTGGAAGTGATAATGTCAGAGAATCTCACTTTCAAAGACACAACAATGTATCTACTATACCTGCTAGGAAAATGATAGGATGGAAAATGAGAACCTTCAAAACTAGAGATGCCAAGCCCTTGATGATTTTCTTGCTCTCTCTAGGCTGGAATATTGCTGTACACTAACGGCCCCTTTCAAGACAGGCGAAATTGCAGATCTTGAAAATGTACAGAGAAATTTCATAGCACGTATAAGCACGATAAAGCACCTAAATTACTGGGAACGGTTAACTTCCCTTGATTTGTACGCCCTGGAAAGCAGGCAAGAAAGATACATGATAATATACACTTGAAAAATCCTACAGTGACCAGTTTCAAATCTGCACACGAAAATTACTCCCTACGAAAGCAAAAGACTCGGCAGGAGATGCAACATCCCCCCAATGAAAAGCAGGAGCGCCACGAGCACTACCTGATAGTGTAAATGGCCCTCTCTGTGGAAAGATGTAGTCCCTGTTCATAAAAAAGAAGAGCAGAGCAGAAATCAGCAACCACAGACCAGTGCCATTCCTGTCAGTCACTGGCAAGATCCTTGAGACAATAATCTCACGACAAATGACAGAGTTTTATGACTGCCACTCACAACTTTGTCACCGTCAATATAGTTTCAGGAAAGGTTACTCTGTTGCTGGTCTGTTGTTAAACCTCTCCACTAAGTGACACCAGTCACTGGATGAATCCAAAGTCAGCTGTGTGGTAGCACTGGACATTGCTAGTGCTTTCGACCGGGTATGGCACCCGGGCTTCTTGGCTTCTTGCAAGCACTGGGAATTCCAGGCTCTACACTGTCTCCTCAGTGATTACTCTATGTATAGTTCTCAATGAGACAGAGTCAGCAAGTTATCCTATTGGGGCAAGTGTTCCACAGGGAAGTGTGCTTGAGTCGTTGTTATGGAATGTCTACATCAACGACCTTCTTCATCTCATCCCTGAATCCCATTGAAATGCAGACGACTGTGCTCTGACATTTATTTATCCAAGAAAGGAAATGCCAGCTGCTCTAAGCTACATCAATCACCAGCTAAGAGCTATATCAGCCTGGGGAAACCGACGACAGGTAACATTTGCTCTTGAGAAAGCACAAATGATGATGGTCTCTAGGCACCATGATGGTAATGCCACATCAGTAGATTTAGATTTTGCCACCGAAGTGGCTAGTTTATTGTGCACCCCATATCCATCCTGTGGACGGTAGCGCAAGAGCATATGGATACACAGAAGACCTAGGAACTAGGCTCCAAAAGGGTTAACAGGTGTAAATATGGGTTTTTAATCTACATATCTAAAGTTCACTTATCTGTTACATGCAAATTTAGGAAATTTGCTTAGTATATCTGGTATCTTATTTTCATTAATAAGATATCTTGATATACTGTCTATCTCTGTGTTCCTCAAATAGTGTTCAAGACAGTGACCATGTGCCTGATCCCATAATTTGCATTTAGTTTGATCATCATCTGTGTGTCTCCCAAACTGCTAGAAGTACTTATAACCAAGCCTAAGCCTGGCTACTACGACATCGGTCAGTCTGTTCACATTGCAAGTTGCTCCATAAACATACTTATCTACGTTCATGTTATCATAGTGAGTTATAGATCTGCTCAGGCTTCTAACTGCATTCCTATAACAATCATTTTCATTATTTACTTCTCTCCTAATATTATTCCTAATGCTAGACACAGATATACCAAAGTTATATTCTACATTCTCCTTCTGGGTACTCTTCTTGGCTAACATATCAACTTTATCATGAAGGAGTAATCCAATTTGTGATGGGATCCATAGCAATTGTACATTAATTCCTTTGTCCCTGATTTTTGAGTATCTATACCTGGCTTCTCCAATGAGCATGTTATTGGAGCCATTATATGAGTCAAGAGCCTTCAATGATGACAATCAGTAATGATGATATAGAGTCAAGCTCAGCGTCATAGGTTAGCTTTAGCGCCATTAGGATTGCAAACAATTCAGTTTGCAGTGTAGACGCCCAGTTGTTAATTCTTACCTGGAGTTTACCTGGAGAGAGTTTCGGGGGTCAACGCCCCCGCGGCCCGGTCTGTGACCAGGCCTCCTGGTGGATCAGCGCCTGATCAACCAGGCTGTTGCTGCTGGCTGCACGCAAACCAACGTACGAGCCACAGCCCGGCTGATCAGGAACTGACTTTAGGTGCTTGTCCAGTGTCAGCTTGAAGACTGCCAGGGGTCTGTTGGTAATCCCCCTTATGTGTGCCTAACTCAACAATTTTATTATCGTTCTTAACTAGGGAGGTGGCAACAAGAGCAGATGCAGCCCTGCCAGAAGACTCCTGTTTAGATCCATCAGCGTATATAACTTGTGATAACTTATTACTACCAGCTAGGCGAGAAATTTCTTCTTGAGCAGTTGCTTTAACAAGTGATTTAAGGAAGGGATTGTTAGGAATGAACTTCTTGGGAAGGACTTGCAGGTATGTGATATTAAATGAACACATCTTCCATGGAGGAGTGAAATGCTCTTGCTGCCTACAGTGATACAGTTCATACAGGCTATAAAACTTAATGCAATTGCACGTTTTCACAATCCATTTAGATCTGTGTGTATTTACCTCTAGACACTTGGTAAGATTCACTGTGACAGTGTCTGGTTCATTTCTTAACATTCGAATACCGAGTACAGTGTTAATCTCAATAACCCTATCACTGATACTAGAAATACCAAGCTCCTTCCTCATATTAAGAACCTTTGTAGATTTGGGACACCCAAGAATAATTCTGAGAGCTTTATTTTGCATTAACTCCAAGGGTCGGAGAGAACTTTCTCTAGCTAATATCAACATAGGAGCAGCATAATCAATTAAGGACCTAACATACACTATGTACATCATTCTCACGATTCTCACATTGGCACCATAGTTGGGGTTGTAGCCAGCAACAGCCTTGAGAGCATTTAGCCTATCTTTGCATTTCTTATTTAGTTGTGGTATAGTGGATTTGTTAAAGGATACATCTACACCAAGATATCTGTAAGTTTTAACGTAGCTAATGTTTTCACCATGCAAGTAGATGGGTGGGGGATGTCGTTTGCTTGTTAATATCTTTGTTCTAGAGGAAGATATTATGAGGCCTAGTCGATGAAAAATTGCTTGAACTTCACTAAGAATGGTGCTCATCTTCTTATGCTCTGTTGTATGTATCATGATGTCATCAGCATAGCTTATAGCTATATGTTTAGGTGAGGCAGGTAGAGCATTTAGGAGAGCATTAATCAGAATATTAAATAGCATGGGACTAAGAACTCCTCCCTGCGTACGTATGAATGAGAGAGTGCTGGTACCCAGGGACGAAGCTGATATTCTTGGGGTGAAATTTGACTCCAAGCTGACCATGAAGAACCACGTTGTAAATCTTGCAAACAAGACGGTCAAGAAGCTTACAGTACTTCGACGTATCTCACATCTACTCGACAGGACTCACGAAATCGTAATGACACGATTGCAAACAAACCATACCCATACCCCCATACTCAGCCCATGGCGACGGGCTGGAGTTTTGAGACTCTCTGACCGCGGGTTCAATCCCGGCCGGGGTATGGTTTGTTTGCAATCGTGTCATTACGATTTCGTGAGTCATGTTGACGGCAGTGAAGGGACTTGAGCTAGAGTTCGTCACGGCCACGCTAGCTGGAGATTCGTCCGTAAAAACTTGCATTTGTGGTCACAGTGGTGCCTGTGCTAACCTTCCTATGGTGTAGAAATATACCTAGTTGGACGAATCTTATTGTGGCTAGCTGGTCTAGTGGCTAACGCGACGGGCTGGAGTTTTGAGACTCTCTGACCGCGGGTTCAATCCCGGCCGGGGTATGGCTACTCGACAGTACGGGGCACAAGATTCTGTACGAGGCACAAGTACGCTCACACCTTGAGTATGCTCCACTTTTCTGGAATGCCTGTACCCCATCTCATCTGCGACTGCTTGACAGAGTCGAGTACAGAGCAAGATGCCTCATCTCTCGCCTGGACCCATCCTGGATAGATCTGTCATTTCAGCAGAGCTTTCAGCATCGGAGGGACGTGGGTGGCCTTACTGTTATGTACAAGGCCAATATTGTCAAAGTACCACACTTGTCTCCACTCCGAGGACAGCGAGAAGTGAGCTTATATACAACAAGACGGGCAACAAACAGTAACTTCACTCTGGCTGTACCCTTCTCCAGAACATCACTTATTCCTAGGATGATTCGAGTCTGGAACATGTTCGTGCAACATAATGATATCTACGAAATAAAGTCAGTTGATCAAATGAAACTGCTGTCCCACAGATGGCTTCAACTTCATCCTGTTCCCTACTTGTATGTTTCATAAAAATTAAATAGCTTTCAAACGAGCTGATGTAGGTAACAGCTCTTAGCTTGTCAATAAAGCTAGGAACCCTTACCCTAACCTTGTCAAACCCTGCGTAAATAAAAAGGAGAGTGATTTCTTGTATATTTAACATACATGCACAATGATCTGATACTGACTTTAATGTCACTGTAAATATCTGATTTTACTTTACCACTGCTATATCCCCTCTCATTATAACTACTTTTCACATAGTTAAGATACTTACCTGTCTTTAACTTTTAAATATAGTTAATATTTATCACAAAGACCCCATTGGAAATAAATAACTTTATCTCCTTTTTTTTTGGGGGGGGGGTTATTCTAGGTAATCTACACATATGTTGCTATGTATGATAATCAGTGTAACTGTATTTATGTGTACCTGTACCTGAATAAAAGATTACTTATTTACTTACTAATCTAAATAAGTTTTTACCTTATCACACAAGTTATCCCTAAACACTGAATGTAACAGTTTCTTCAAAAGTTAATGCTTGAGAAAAAATCTCTTTTGAGGGTTAACTTTAATATATTTTGTATTCACTGTAACTTTAGCCCACTTGCTGTTTTTTATGCACGAATTCTTAAATATCCCAAACCTTTCAATGAAGGTGTATCAAATAAATCTCTATTTTTAAGGGGGGAGTCAACTGTTAAGCCAGTGGCAAGACACTGTTATGCACTATAATAAAAACTCTAGTGGTGGGTCATCATATATATGACTATTACCAACGTCAGAAGGCATTTATTTCCTGAAGAATCTTACCCAACCTAGATCCAGTCATATATTAAGAAAAGGCAAAGTAAGTAAACAGAGGTGGCTATAATATAATATTGTTCAATGAGCTGTGGATTGTTTATAAATTCAAGTCTCTTCTCAAAAATCACTTGCTCACCCACAACTAAATAAACACTGAATAATTGTATCTCATAAATTGTATCTCATATATGTATCTCATTATTGTATCTCTTAAATCTCTAACCTGTGACCCAATCAAACTTTATTTTTTAATTACATTACCTAACATAATACTCCATTCTACTGAATGTTCAGCAACACAGTAAATGACCATATGACCTGTCTTTGTGATACTCATTTGTGCTAAATTGTTATCTGTTTACAATAATGTTTTTACCACTGAATATATCATTGCTTAGTTAATCTTAAGTTAATTTTAAGCCTGCCCATAATGCTCTGCATACAAGGGGCTTTGGCATGTTGCACTGTAATAACTGTATTCCTTTGTACTTCACTGTATCATGTTCAAATAAATAAATAAATAAATAAATTATTCATTTTTGGGTGTATGAGACAGCACTTTTCAGCCAACGTAACTGTCCCACTTTTTTAATTTATGGATGATTCAGAGCAGCAACAGCTGTGACGTTGGTTTAATAAACAGAGGTGAACGTCACACCAATAGTGGACCAAGCTTCAGGCCAGAAAAGAACCTGTCTCCATGATTAAGTGATGTAACTGTGGGGTAGGATAAGATGACTGAGGACCATACAAAGCAAAACTAGAAATTATATTAGAGCAAGATCAAAGTGGAGTGGATGGAGAATGGAAAAATTAGCGGCGTGGGGGGGGGGAGAGGTTATGGACATGTTCCGTTCCAGCTCATGTCAACCGCTTGTCAATATTAACTTCCCAGTACTTATCGTGAGGAAGACGACTTAATCTACGTACAGTATAGACAAAAATAATTTGATAGAGCTAAAGATAATAGCGTATTTCTGAATTTTTATTAATAATAATACAAATTGTAGAAGCAAGAAAGGTGCACGAGATCAGTCGTGAGGCCTTGCAAAAAAATCACCTGGTCACCTTTGTAATATATTAAATCCCAAATTTTATTCAAATATAAGGGACCTCATTTTTGCCAAGAAAACAATCATTAAAACATCTTTTAACAAAGTTCATTATATCAAGAAGACGCCTAACTTATTGAGTGTTCAGGGTGAGGAAATATTGAAGATGTGTTTGGCTTGTATATCAGTGGTAGCCGTAAGAAGGAGCATAGCTGGGGTAACTAGCAGTGCCCTGGTAGGTCACTGTTGGGTGGTAACCACTACCATCGGCCCAGTAAGCCACAGTTTGCACACGACCGTCAGGAAGGTTCACATAGTATGTACCCTTGACGTTAGAACCATCACCACTCTCCTGTTGACCAAAGTTGGTGTCTCCGGCGCTCACCCCATAATTAAAGTTGTAAGGGATGGGTACCTGGAACAGAATATACAAGGTTAGTGCCACTCGTAATTAACACAAACATTGCTCATGTTAGTTCACTTAATTAATACAACACAGTATCTAAATACCTACATCATAGCCCACTGGAAGAGCCACACCAGCAGCCACCAGCATGCACATCAACAACACCTGCAGATACAAAGATATAAGAGTTTCTGTGCTGAAAGAATAAGAAATATGCGGTCTTTATAAATGAGAGTCTCAAACATTCATTATTCCCATGAAATTATAATGTTCAATCTCGTACTTATGACTATAAAAAAATGCAATCACATTATGAGTGTAAAGTGTTTCAAGAATGAAACATTGACTTCAGTTAACGTTTTAACTTAAATGTTAACGAAATATGTAACTAAACGTGTTGTAAAAACTTTTCTGTAATGGATTGTAAATAATAAGATAAAAGTCTATGAGCCTACACCTTTAGAAGGTGCATCATAAAACTTTTCATAATTATTATAAATAATAAAAAAATACTCACAGAGGTGAACATGTTAACTTATGTGATGTGAGCAGACACTGTCTCCTCCCTGGCCTCCAGCTTGCTTTTATACCTCCAGCCACACCCAGTCACCAGCCTCACATTTCTCAGTCAGTCAAGCTCAAGGACCAAATTGGAAACAAGTTACTTTGATTTTTTTAGGTTATGCTAGGTAATTTACACATATTATTATGCAAGATAATTGTAATCAGTCACACTATCTAAATGTGTCTGAATTAACTTACTAAGGTCGCACTGTCAGTTAGTTTAATATCTTTATTATGCACCCCATACCCATCCTGTCACCAACCAAGTTCCTACTGTGTGTAATGTTGTGTAATTAAGCTAACAATTCTCTATGATAAATGAATTAAATTACTACACTTCACAAATACCAGTACCATATACAAACTTTCCCGTGGAAATAATTTGTTTGAAGTTTTTCTGCCAAGTGACAATAATAATAATAATAATAATAATAATAATATCTTTATTTACTACCAGTACATGTACAAGGTATACAGTCCCAGCTGACATCAATGACACAACTATATAGAAAGCCGCTTGTTATACAGAGCATTTCGGGCATATTAGGTTAGTTTTGTCCCAGGATGCGACCCACACCAGTCCACTAACACCCAGGTACCCATGTTACTGATGGGTGAACATAGACAATTGGTGTAAGGAACCACGCCCAATGTTTCTACCCCTTCTCCAGGGCCACAAGGCCCCGTGGCCACCAGGAGATATGCTGGTAATATTCATTTGTTTCTATATGTGCCTTAGTAATTTTTGGACTCCACCCACCACTATCAAACTTTTAACCTCTTGATACTGACTCCCGAAATCGTAAAGACATGATTGTCGTAATGACACGAGTGCCCCGGAGGTCGATCGCTAGCGCACTCGACTCACACACTGAGGTCCGGAGTTTGAATCTCCGGTACGGCTGGAAAACTTTAGGTTGTGTTTCCATAAAACACTCGCTGTCCTGTTCACCCGTCAGTGTAGAATGGGTTCCTGGGTGTTACTCGACTGGTGTGGGTCGCATCCTGGGACAAACATACAAAAAATTGTCGCCATCATAAAGGGACAGAAAAACAAGGTCAGAAAAAATAAATTATTTAGGTTTTGCACAATATACATTCGTATCACCAAAAAAATAATAAAACATTCTTTTCAAAAGAAATAATTATACAGTGTATTTTTATCACAAAAAATAAAACTAAACAGAAACACAATACACACATTCTTAGCATTCTCTCTCTAGTTGAGAATAACTGACCTAGAGGCACTGGTGCCATCACTTCCACCACGTGTCTGACGGCACACCGTCTCTCACTTCGCAAGTCACTGTCACGCGACGTTTTCTTTTTTCTGACCGCGGTCGGTAAGTAACCTTTCTGACCTCTCGCCAGGAGACATTTCCGAACCTGACGTGACGGGACGAGCGCCGTCTACAGTGAAGGTAACAGTCTGGCCCACGGGAATGACGCCCTCAAATTCGGGGTTGAAGGGTAGGAAACCTTCATACCTTTTGGGGTGTGGATGGACGCCCTCAAACTCTGGTCGGACGACGGGGAGTTGCTGGCCTACCTCTGACTCGTCACGAATCATTTTAGTTTCATGGCCCCTTTGGTCGTCCTGAGGGAACATCCTTGCCAAACCCAGGAAGATCCCATCTGCAGCCTGGGTATCGTACGGTAGCAGGGGAAGCTAGGGAACTTCTCTTCACTCCAATACGATGAGGTGGGTTCTCACCAGAGGCTGCCTTGTCCTCCTCCTCCCAGTTCGTTATTAGCTGCACTAATAGGTCTGCCAAGAAAACCTTTAGTACTGTTACTTTATCCGTTATGTCTGGGTCGCCTGTCAACTTAGCGGCTAATAAGGTCCAATTGCTTTTGTCCATAGAAGCGGCAAGCTCTTTATTATCGGACTGAACCACGAGCCGTGTGAAATAGTCGGATAAGAATATCTGTGCCAGTTCTATGGCATCCATCCTTAACTCTGCTACAATCGTCTTGGCCATACTGGATAGACAGTACCGAGCCCTTTTGACCAAATTCTTTTTGTCCATATTTACTGCAGCAAGCTCTTTGGCCAGGTGGACCAGGAGCATTCTAATAGACTTGACCACAGCCAGGCCATCAAAGCTGGCAAGGAGCCTCGTGGACAAAACCATCAGGTGAATTTTGGCCATATTAGCAAAATCTTGCTTCGACAAATCGGATATAATTCCTTGGGCTATATCGTCCAAACCCTTTCTAGCCAAATCGACGATTTTTTCTTGCTTGTCATGGCGGCCGAAGATCCTTTCAACCAACTTCCTCTTCGCAGCCAGATCTTTTGTCGTCATTTGGGCCAACACTTCCTTTTCTCCAAGGTCTTTGAGTTTCCTCGCTAACTCGCTCAGGTCTTTCATGGCTAATTCTGCCAGGCCCTTCCTAGCCAAGTCAACTAGGAGGCCCTTACTCATATGAAAGAGATCCTTTTTGACTTCCTCAATAATTGTTTCCTCCTCGTCTGAGTCAGTTAACTGGCTTAATAAGCTGGCAAGATGCTTTGCATCCATCTCGGTTAAATCGTCATTTTCTTCAGATACGCCAGGGTTCCCATGCGAATCTGACACCAGACTCTTAAACAATTCGGACAAGAATAGCTTTACTAAATCTCGCTGTTCCATTTTATTTAAGAGTATCGTGGCGACGTTAGTGAGGCCCGTTTTAACCAGCTCGAGAAGCTCTTTATCGAACTCCAGTAAGAGCTTTGTGGCAGCATCGGGCATCTCCTTCCCCTCCACTTCTTTTTTCTCAGGCTTGTTAAGTAAGCCCGTCATAACGCCAGCATCCATACTAAAGTCGCCTGAGACCATAGCTGCCCTATTCTTACCCGAAATTTCGGGATCCTTTCCCTTGATGTCGTGATGATCCGCTTTTGTAAAGGATCTCAAGGCCTGCGCGATAAAATCTGCCAGGTTCTCATCGAGACGATCTTCCTCGTCGGGAAAACCGAGCAGGTCCTCCTCGTCAGAGTCCTCTGCCTCCAAGTACTCCTGGTCAGGACCGTACAAGTTCTCCTTGTCGAGGAGTACTTGTCCGGAGCCGTACTTCCACAAAGCGATCACCCCCTGGATGACTAAGAAAGTGCATGTTAGTGCTATCACTGTGGCGGTAACACTCCACAGAAGCTCTCCGTAAACTGAAGGGATGATGACGCTCTGTACGTCAGTGCCCCTGCCTTGAGCGTACTCCACCAGGTCGAGGACCTGCCTGTAGAAGCTCAACACTCTGAAGACCCTTCCGACCAAGGGAATGCCGCTGAGCACTGGCTCCTGGAGGGTGAGGGTGGTGACGGGATACCCCGAGTCGTCCAGGATAAAGTAGCTGAAGTAGCGAAGCCACGACTCCTATCCCTGGACGTGAGTCAAGCAGACCTGCATCACCTGCTGGTGAGCCGTGACCAGGTCCTTCGTCAGGTTAAAAAGACTCATCTTCTGGTAGAGGAACCATACTGTCAGCGCCACAACTTCCCCGACCAGGCAGACGATGCTTACAACTTTATTAGTTATTTTTGTAAACATTATATTATTATTATTTTAGTTTCGTTAGAGTTTGTTTACCCCAGGAACAACGTGTGTGGATGTTTATGTTGATCCTAGATGGTGTGTTGAAGACTGTGCGGTGTGCAGCCATTGTTTGCGAAACTGTAAGACATTCAGTGTTAAGATAATGTAAGACAGTGTAAGACACATTCACTGCAAGCCACTCACTGTAAGTCACTCACTGTAAGACAGTGTAAGCCACTCATTGAAAGCTTTGGTCAGTGTTTCATCATATTTCTCTCTTCCTCTCTCTCTCTCTACCCTCTCTTTATCCCCTCATTCTTCTTGACCCGAGGGAGTGGAAGGCAGCTCCAATTTCCTGGATCTAGACCTCTTCACGAGCTCCTTGATGAGAGATAAGCCTTGTAGAAAAGTAACCTCGCCAAAGCATAGCTAAGGGCTCTTGATCCAAGGCTGAACATTCATTGTCTCTCTCTCCTTCCGCTGGGGCGCCGTATGATCCATCATTTACCCCCCTCACTTTCATATAAAAAAAATTATCGCCATCATAAAGGAACAGAAAAACAAGTCAGAAGAAAATTAAATAATTCAGATTTTGCACAAAAATAGAAATATACTTTTGTATCACCAAAAATAAAAAAAAATAAAAACATTCTTTTCTAAAGAAATAATTATACGTGGAGTTTACCTGGAGAGAGTTCCGAGGGTCAACCCCCCGCGGCCCGGTCTGTGACCGGGCCCTCCTGGGGATCGACCTGACAACCGCTGTTTTAACTCTGGCAAAAACGCAATCCAACACACTTTAAAACATGTGTACTCAGGCCCTACGGAGTACCAGCCCAGTCGGGAACCCACATCGGTCAAATACACAAAAAAATTAGAGAAAGTGCAAAGGTTTGCAAAAAGGGCGGGTTTTCCGAACAAGGGGAATGTACTAGAAAAAAGGTTAAGGGAAATCGGTCTGACAACACTGGGGACAGGAGGGTCGGGAGACATATAACGACATACAAAAACTGGCGCGAAAACAAGGTGGACGAGACAGGGTGTTTCCGAGAGGGAAAACAGAAACAAGGGTCACAATTGGAATGAAGACTCAATGAGTCAAAGGGATTTTGGAATATTTTTTCAGACATAGAGTAGTTAGGGAAGTGGAATATCCCGGCAAGCGAGTATGAGGCAGAACAACATAGTTTTAAAGGGGAGGTATATAAAGCCTCATGGAGCAGGGGGAGAGAGGACCTAGTACGGTCGTAAGAGGCGGGGGCCCGGACTGAGTCTCGACCCCTGCCCACAATTAGGTAGTCGACCACACCCGGCTGGCAGGTACCGCTTTAGGTGCTTTCCATGCCTTTTTTTGAAGACAGCCAGGGTCTATTGGTAATCCCCCCTTTCGTATGCTGGAGGCAGTTGAACATCTCGGGCCCCTGACACTTATTGTATTGTCTCTTAACGTGCTAGTGACACCCCTGCTTTTTCATTTTTTTTTTTTTTAGTTTAATATGTTTATTATGCACCCCATACCCATCCTGTGGGCGGTAGTCAAAAGATTACAGAGGACATAAAAAAGGGGCCCCGGGAGGGGCCCCAAAGTTATATAGATGAGCAAGTTACAGAGGTAATGAATTCACAATTTACAAAGGTAATGAACTCACAATTTACAAAGGTAATGAACTCCAGGTAGGTCTTGTCACAATCATGACAAGTTACAAAGGTATTTACAGATTACAGAGGTACACAATGGGTCCAGGGACCGGGCTCCAAAGTTGTGATGGCTGAACTAGGTACAAGGTAATGAACTCACAAGTTACAAAGGTAATGAACTCAC